GATTAGCAGCTTCTGGGCAAAGTCCTAGCTGTAGTGATTTAGGAGTCAGGAAGACCAAGCTGAGAACAGAATAAAACAGCATAAAAGAATAGCATACACAGAATACACAAACCTTGAGTCCATGACTGCAGTTTGAACACAACTCAGGTGGCACGTAACTCTCCTCTGGCCTTGCAAAATTATTTTGATTGACAGTTGGAGTTATGGGTGGGAACTTAGAAAGTGCTGGTTGAGGTGTGCAAGTAGCTTGGTAGTGCTCCGTAACTATTTGGTCCATATCTATACTCTGAACACCAAGCTAATGTGTGAGATGGATTAATGCAGAGAGATTAACACTCATCAAGACATAAACCAACAAATATGACATTGAAGCTATGTCAAGTTGTCTTCATCTACTAAATTTAATCCTGAGAGTTCTAACCCAGAGAATTCCAGCCTAACAACCTAACTTGATTCACAGTTAGTCATTCATGCTGGACAAGTTTCAATTTGGTTAGCAAAGCTAAGAGACATTGAATATGAATTACCTTGATTAGGTCATCGTCGTCAATGTAATCAGCCAAAGTTTCCACAAACTCTTTTGGTTGACAGGTTTGCACAGTGTGATTGATGAATGAACCAGCTAAAACATTAGACTGGTTAGCGTCGGTCCTTGATGATGCTTTAATGTCACTAGGCCACACTTGATCATTTCCAGATTGCCCATAGCTAGCATTATCTGCTGGGATAACATTGCCCATATGCCTAGCAGATTCACTGTTTTTTCCACTCAAGTTTTTCTGTGTATACATGCGTTCAGAATATTTGTTAACATTACATGAGCTTTGAAAGGTAGGTCTTTGTCCTACATTGCCTGACAAGTCTTCGCTAACATTCTTTACTGGACCAGTTTTACCAGGTCTAATGTAGTTCCTGGAAGAAATCTGAAGAGTAGATAGAGCATGCCAAGCCTGCAAAAATTTTCCACGCAAAAACCTTATGAAGGCTGAAAATTTCCATGAACTGCGCATACTAGCTAAAATGTTAAATGTTGACTGCATAAGCTTTGAAGTAAGACACAAGGTTAGAGATTGCTTTCATTCCAAGCGGCAAGCAGTTGCTCAATGCATGTAGCTTACATGGCAATTCTCCACTCCACTTCTCAAAAAGTGGAGATCGTGGTTTCAAGCCAGATGACAGAATTGCATTGCAGAGTGCTTACCCAAAATAGACCAGTCGCGTTGAGGCAACCATAAGGAAACTTAAATTGGACAGCTCCAATTATAATAGCGTGAACTTTAAACCCTAACAGAGCAAAAATTATAAAAGGACACTCACGAATCCTTTATGATGCATTTTTACCTTTTCAACTTGTGAACTTTGCAATATTTGAGGATTCCGGATGTCACAGGAGGTTAATCTAAATGACACAAAGAAAAACCTAGTTACACAAACCAATAGCTTAGACAATAACAATAACAACAAATTTCCAGAGATCCTTCCACCATTGACTGTTATAATCAAAGACTCTTAAAAATATACTGCTTAAAAAATTGTACAATAACAAGCTCCTAATTATAAACCTCCATAACATTCAAATACTGAACGCCAAGGCGTTTTGAAGAAGGGATTACAAATTTAAAACAAAGAAATCAGAAATCAACAGAAACAATTATTTATGTGAATATGATGTCAACATGATAAAGAAAAACATGGAGCATATGTGTAAAACAATAATATACCTCATGGACATTGGTTTTTGCGATTCTAGCGAGTAAAGGAAATTCGAACTCAAAAATTTCCTTCGAGGGGAATAATTGTCAAGTGCATTGGCATGTTGCAACCAATTCACTTTAGGTTGCTTCTCATCCTCGCATTTTCGATCTTCACTTAAATTGCTTACGGTGCTGCATATATATAAATTTAAATAAAAACAAAAAAAACAAACAAACAAACAAAACAAAACGATAGTAGTAATGCTTAGAAAACAACAATTACTTTTTCCTCGTGTGCTTCCCGATCGCCATCGTTCCAATTTATCTGGTAAGTGTCACCCGGATCTAAAACGCTAACATTATAAACAAGAAAAAAGAAAAAAAATTTCAAAATGGAAAATGTATCAAATTTGCTTTTCTTTTTTATTTTGAATTTCAAATAATTTATTCTTTCCGAAATAAATTTCTATAGAATTTCACAACTTAATACAGCATCAATTTTTTTATTCAATGTTACCTGAAATGCTAAAACACAGCGTTTCTCCGAAAAAAAAAAAAAAAGAAAAGAAAAAAAAATTGGAAATAGAAAACCTAACAACAATAGCAGATGCAGGTGTAAGAGAAAGGAGACCTTACTTTGGAACATTGACAGAGAGAAGCGAGGAAGATAGAATTATCGAAGAGTGTTGGGTAATCGGCGGTGGGTTCAGGAGAGAGAAAGCGAGAGAGGGCGAGCGCGCTCTTTAAAAGTACAGGGCGGAGTGCAAGGGCGGGATACTTTTGTTTTTGATTTTTGTTCCTTTTTTAAGAAATATTCTATAGTTAATTATAATATAGTATTTGTAGTTCAACAAAACAAATTATTTAGTCCTCGTAATTTTAAAACTATATATTTATTCTTTATGTTTTTGGTGGACACCGTTAGCAAAAAAAAAAAAAAATAGAGAAAGAGGCGGATAAACTTATTTTCTATATACACTAGGGCAAGAAATTTTATAATTCTCAAAAAATAACTAGTGTATATATATAGTAGTTACTCCATAAGTATATTTTTTTAAAAGAGACATGGACACATAAAAAAAAAAAATCACATCCAAATTCATAAAAAATAACAAGAAGATTTCAACTTTAGCTCAAATTTTTTAAAAAAATTTCTCTCTCCTGTTTTTCTCTTATTTTTGTGTCTATCTTTCTTTATAAAGTAACTTACACTAGTTATTTTTTGTTATTATAAAATTTTCCAACTAGTGCTATCCAATGCTCTTATATCTCGGTGGTTTGGTTTGGTGTGTTAGTTACCGCTAGCCAACCGTGGTTCAAGGATCGACTTTGTGTACGTTTAATAATACAATATTATGTGTGTTTAAAAAATATTACTATTAAATTTGATTTTTTTAGATTTTTTGATATTTTATTTACAACAATATATCAAAACTATCCAAAATCATATAAAAATATTAAATTTTTAAAAAATATATTTTAAAAATCATTTTTAAACACCATACAAACCCTTACGTATGTCTATAGAAATACTTAAACGTTAACTACTATTTATGTTTCAAAATATTAGTGTTTATTTGATATACACAATATTAGTTTTAATTTGTTTCATAGTTTCTTGTGCTAATGTTTCCCTTGTATTGGAATGCCATCTTCATTGCATGGTGTGTATAATATGTCTTTACTTTGAACAAACAACAGTAGAAATATTGTTTCTTTATGATTTATTATATAAATATAAACTTCATATCCACTTGAAAAAGTAAAATATCAATGCAAAAAAAATTGCATTGTATATTGGGAAAAAACAGAATTGGTTGATTACATAAAAAATAAAATGTTTTATTTTTATGTTATAACATTTTTTGGTCAATTTTAATTAAAAACATGATTGTTTATTTTTGTCGTTTTAAAAGTAACAACATTTCTACTAATAATTTCTACTAAACAAATTATCAAACTAAATTCTACCTATTTGAAAACTACTAGAGTTTTTTTTTAAAAAAAAAATGAGATTTTTTTTCGAAAGCCAATGAAAAAAGTATTTGATAAAGTTCTAAAAATTGCTCTAAAAGCTATTTAGAAGCCAAAAGTCACAAGGTATAAAATAAAACTTAAAACTTAAATCTTATACAACATAGAACCATTTTTACAACACATAGGCATTTTTTTTCACATTCATAACAATTGCATAAGTTACAATCACAAACAAAAATACAACAAAAACGTACAATTTGTTTTCAAAGACCCATTCAATTTTTCACATACATTAAGAAAATACAATTAATTGCATGATATGTCATTTGTTTTCAAATTACTGTCCATTAGTACTCTTTGTTTGAATATAAATAACAGATAAAGGTTGTTGGATTGAAAGAACCAAAGTGAATTATAATTCTAGGCATAGCATAATAACCAAATAATTAATAGTTCGACTTTTTGATTCTCGACAATAAATATCTTAGTGTTTTTAAATTCGTTTATAACTTTGTATTTTTAGTGAATTTTATGTTCACTTCTATCTTTTTCTTTTTTTGGGAGGAAAATAGAAAGGAAAAAAGAGAAGTAGATGTACGAGGAAGAAGGTATTTTCAGAATTAAAAAAAAAAAAAAAAAACTAAATTAAGGATATGGTCAACACTAGTTAAGGGATTTTTTTAATTATTTTTCACACAATAAGGATTAAATTGTTAATTGTGAAAAACTTCAAGGATTAAATAATAATCATATAAAAATTACCCATTCCATCGAGCAAGCTTGAAAATTTTGGATAAGCCCCGTCCATTGATTCTAACAAATTTAAGGAAAAAGTATTAAAAAGAAAAATATTAGGAGCTGAGCTTAGTTATACCAAACTTGTTAGAAAAAAAAGATAAGTATTGAATTTATTGTCTGTATAATTTCTCCAGATTTCATAGAAAATTCAAAAAAGTATGGGTTTTAACCATTAATTTTTTATATTTTATTTTTGTCTTTTTTACCCAAAACATATCAAAGGGATCCTAAGATCCTCAAAAAGTTATTTTATAGTCTTAAAACGTATTTCGATTACTTAAAAGCTTAAAAAAAGAAACAAAATCAATCTGGAGGAGCAAAATGCAACATAAATTCGATACAGGGACGGAAGTGTCAGGCATTATTATTTTTCGTTTCCAGAGACGCACGTGACATACCCGGGTATATTTGCGTCATGAACGATGGATGGATCTCGAAATGGCCTGCTGTGGAGTAACCCTCTCCAATTCCCTCTTCTTCCATAACAAGGCTAACCATTTATGTACGAAACGTAGCGTATTGAACTCAAAAATGATAGAGAAAAATGGTGATTCAATTCCGCACGTCTTGAGTGTAGCCGGTTCCGATTCCGGTGCTGGTGCAGGAATCCAAGCCGATCTCAAGGCTTGTGCCGCGCGCGGAGTGTACTGTTCTACTGTCATAACTGCTGTTACTGCACAAAACACCCTTGGAGTTCAGGGCGTACATGACGTTCCTGAGGATTTTGTCGCTCAGCAGTTGAAGTCTGTGCTTTCAGATATGCAAGTTGATGTGGTAAGTTTTCTTTTCCTCTTTCAAATTTTTTTACTGCGTCTTTCAAATATATTTATACTCGATTGAGATTCATTTTTTAGGTTAAAACAGGAGTGCTACCTTCTATTAGAGTAGTCAAGGTTCTTCTTCAGAGTCTTGCTGAGTTTCCAGTTCGAGGTAAAAAATAAAATGAAAATTGATATTTGTGATTTGATTTTTTATTCTACCAAGTTTAATGGCGTAATGATTTAATTAAAAGCAGCTTTGGTGGTTGATCCTGTCATGGTTTCTACAAGTGGAGACGTGCTCGCTGGTTCTTCCATTCTTTCCAGCTTTCGGTAAGTTGTTGTAACTTTTGTTTTCAACAATTGTTGTTTGGCTTTTATTTTGGTGATTATTTTTCGAGTGGCAAAATAGTTAAATATTAACCTATATGGAAGCAATTTGGACTGTAGAAACCATTTTGGGCGGTAGCTCCATTTTGGAATCTTGGATAATTATTCCAGCCTTGCAGTGGCATGTATCGTGAAACTAGGTCACAAAAGGATTTCTTTGGTAGTCATTTTCATGGTGTGTTTGAAGACATTACAGATTTTTCTTGGTGAAGTCATGTGCGGGACTGGATCAATTGTCTAGGAGTAGGCATGTTGGCTATAGAAATTGTGAATTACGGTGTTGTCATAAACATGTCAGTCTTCAGTATCAGCTTCTTTTGGTTAATTATTGAATCCATAGCATTGAGCGGGTTGGTTTTGGTGCTTACGGAATTCTCCGACTGAGGACATGAAGAGCGTTGCTAAATTTATTTAATAATGCGTGTGGTAGTTCTTCCAAAATTCTTCTTGTTTTCTTTTCTTTTTCTGATTGGGGGCAGTTCTTCCTAATTTCGGAACTGGCATTGAAAAATTGAGGATACATCTAGTCAAGCAGCTTCTAAGGAATATTTCTGCATCCATAGGAGTGGTTGGGTGTATTATCATGGTGGGATAGTACTCAAATATGCATTGCATTTAAACTTATGCCTAGAAAATTGTGAAGCTTGAGATATGCTTTTTCCAGATTTGTAGCAGGACAGCCTAGAAAATTGTGATGGTGGGAAAATGCCTGATTTATTAATTTAGAAGGCTGTGTAGAGAGAATCTGATTTAAGAAATCAAATTGGAAATGTTCACAGAAAGAAATGAAAAGGTTTGAGTAGGAGCAAAGAGGAAAGGAAGATCTTGATCAGTGAGTGCTGCTAGCACTCTAGCAAACCTCTCAAATGGTTATCATTGAACAACATTAGACTCATGCTGATACAAGAAAGAATTCTTGTTGGTCAAGTAGTATCAAATACTTTCTTCTAAGCTGCAAGCTACTTATAAGCTGTTAAGAACAGTGACAGCCAGCGAGTTAAAGCAGCTACCATCTGTCACCTAGAAGCTGTATCAAAGTAAAGTACTTTCATCTCGGATGTACTCTACCTCATTAATGGTCTAAATGCACTATCAACGAAATTGACATTTCTGGATAAAGTATTCAAAATTTGCAACTGGAATAGTTAGAAAACTGCCACATGGTATTTTAATTTCTTTCATTTCCAAGAGACCACTTTTTTCTTCAACCAAATTCTCCTTCCAGGTTTTCCAAATTCTTTTCACATTTCTTGTGCTGATCGGTGCTCCATAAACTTCTCTGCAGCCAGGCCTGCAGCAAGTGTAGGCTATCCGTGTCTGATTTCAGTGATAATTTCTTTGACAAAATCCAAGGCCACTTTACTTTCTCTAAATAAGTCAGCTGTGCACCTTTTAACATCTGTATGTTCATCTTTGTTTTATTAATGTTAAGAACGACTCAAAAATAAGATTATGCTTTAGTTAACCATATCCCTGGGACATGGTTAAATCATGTCTTATGCCCAGCTGAAGGCTATTGTGGGAAATCTTCTAAGAATGTAGCATGGCTAACCCAATATGTATTTGTGGGTGGAATTGCCTTCTTTAAGGAACTGTAGATGAGGCATAGGAATGGCTGGCAATTTCATCCTAGATGAGCAACCTTTGTCATAAAGACCTTGTACGTGCTGCCCATCACTAACTTATTGAGAGTTGCTTTTGCTTTTTCGGTTTGTCTGATTTTTTTATTTTTTGTTCTGTGAACTTGTATATTTGATATTTGCAATAATTTTGAATTCCTGGTTTTTGAATGTAGAGAGGAGCTCTTTCCTATGGCTGATATTGTAACCCCAAATATAAAAGAGGCATCTGCTCTACTTGGTGGCATACACCTTGAAACAGTTGCTGACATGTGCAATGCAGCTAAACTATTGCATGCTCTGGGTCCACGGTTAGTTCATGGAAATTACTTTAGTTCTTTGCTTGCTTATGGGAAGCTAATGTTGTAAAACTATTATGTACTTTTATCTCTTTGCAATCAAACTTGTTCTTCTTTTAGTCGACAAAATGGCTTTTACTTGAGGTGTTTCACTCTTAAAAAGGTAGTTAATTTACCTCCTGTTCAAATTGCAACATTTTCTATTTGATAGCATGAGATTTAGAAATTCATTACTCCGTTAAAGGTAAGAAATTACCATAAGCAAGACATGGGCCTTTTGTAAGTCCTGTATCTTATTGTCAAGACTCAAGAAAATAAGAAACTGTTTTAAGAAGAATGTGTTTCTGGGGTTTTCTGTCATACTGAAATCTAGTAAGTTAGGAGACAAAATTGTAGTTGTTACGACTTGCAAGTACAAATTATCTTATAGCTAGATTATGGAAAGTAATATGACGTAGGAAGAAAAGGCATAAGATAGCTACAGATAGCTAACACAGCCAAAGGCTGGTTGTCTGGGCTGAACAAACAAAAAAAGAGGACAGACTCTTGATAAAATTATCAAAATATCAAAGTTATTTCTTATTACAGTGGTAGCAGTCCTTGAATGCTAGAAAAAACCCTAAGTAAAAGAAATACTAGCCCTTAAAGATAACTAAATCTTAGCCATCCAAACTACCACCATAAATAAACTATTAAAAGAAAGACTGTAATTATATGAAACCTACTGCAGTTCTAGCTCCTGCATCATAATATCTGTAAAATGTAGCCAGAAAGAATTATGCGACCATCATGTACCAGTCCTCTATGGTTGCTTAGTTCTTTGTTGTCATAGGTTATCAGAATGGTCTTCATTGTTTCAAGTAAGCTGAAGAGAATAATGTGGTATCCATAGCACTTGATTATGAATTATGTGCCAGTTATGACATTCTTGTTGGAGAAACCAAGACTGGAAGCCTGCCTTTTTTTTTTTTTTAATGTCTAGAAACTGTCGTGCGAGTTGTTAAAGCTGCCAAGCCAGTATTCAAGCTGTAGAACTGCTCCAACAGCTTGAATAACAACTCATCTTGTTAGGCATCAGTTATTTTGCCTCTATAAGTTCTACCATGTATGCAGTCATGGTGCTGGAACGCTATGATGCCAAATATGATGTAGGAAAGTTCTCAAGGTTGAAAGATTAAGGGTTATTCTACAGGTATGAGGCAGGATCTTTAAACTACAGCACCTAAATCCCTAAAGTTTTAGAAGATTTGATGGGTTAAAGCTTGGCGAATAGGTTATAGGTGAAGCTTGGGATGTGTTTCAGTATAACATGATCAAAATAGGTAGAAGGAGTGAAGGATATGGGACTTGTAAATTGAAATGGAGATGAATATGCAAGGACTACTAGCATCACGCTTGTAGGATTTCTAGGAATCACACCCAAAATATAGAAAACCTAAGCATCACACATAGGGTCCTTAGGATATAAATTGCACACAATCCCAGAACATATTGCTGAAATTCTCTTTCATCCATTTATCTTGTGGTCTGCAAACACATACATAGAGTAGGGAGGTGCCACTTAGGTGGAGCCAGCTGGCCATTCAACTACTTAATCGTGAAGTAGTTGAACGGTCAACTTTTAAAAAATTACTCTGCAATAAACAATATTACAGAGCTGTCCCTGACAGTTCCTGGTCATCAAAATAACCTTCTCTAGGCAAGTTCAAGCGATCAGCCCAAAATAGTCATGTTAGCTTTAACATTAAGTTTTCCCTGATTTTACAAATCATGAAATCACATGAAGTTTCTGCTGTAATTGTGCTGAACTTTTATAATTTAAATCCAATGTTTTCTTACAACAGATTGAACTCAAAAATTATATTTGTTGCTTCTCTAATGTACGTAAGTGTTTTCAGTGTTGTCTATGGCACTGGATTTAGTCTTGGAGAAAATCTATGACAGAATGGGTGTATCACTGTGCAACACACGGAATAGAATAGATCCGGTGCTCTGAGCTTAGAGAGTTGCATGATTATAGTTTGTTAATTTTGTTTTCCAGAAATGTACTTGTCAAAGGTGGTGACCTTCCTGATTCTTTGGATGCTGTTGATATCTTCTTTAATGGTGAGCTTAAATTTTACTAAATATGTTAAATAATAATGCTATTTCTTATGTTTTGTCAATGACTGTATGTAATGTGCATTTTAAAGCAAATCTAACACCAACAAATTTTTGCAGGTGAACGCTTCTATGAGCTGCGCTTGTCTCGCATAAAAACTCGCAATACTCATGGTACTGGCTGCACTTTGGCTTCGTGTATTGCAGCTGAACTGGCAAAAGGTTCTCCAATGCTCACATCTGTTAAGGTAACTATTTAGCACTTGTGGGTTTGGTTCCTGGTCAACTTCGAATACTTGGGTGTTTCAGGAGTATCATGACTGGTTTGTACAGTCAAGATTGAGTCAATAACAAGTTAAAACATCAATTTATATATTTATTTATTCATTTAAATTCACCAAGCTTTGTCAGTAAAAACAAGATATGCTTATGGAACCCCAAATTGAGTTGAACAAGCCTGTTTGTGATATAATGTTCAGATGCATGTGTTAATATTCCATTGGAAGTTAAGAATGATGCTATTCTTTTTACCATTCATCCGTGAGAGAGAGTTATGATGATGCATGGGTCCTTTATTTTGACTTGCAATTTACAGTTACACATCTGGAGCGTTCTCAACTTCACTCGCTCCCTCTCATTTTTTCATTCTTTCTTTTAATTTTCCTTCTCTTCTTTTGTTTTATTTACCAGCATTCTTATTTACTGTGATTGTGGCAGGTAGCTAAGCGCTATGTTGAGACAGCCTTGGAATATAGCAAAGAGATTTTGATTGGAAATGGGTCTCAACGCCCCTTCGACCACTCACTAAGGCTTAAGAGTGGTTTTCACAGAAAAGAAGTATTCAATCCAAGTGACTTATTTTTGTATGCGGTTACAGATTCTGGGATGAATAAAAAGTGGGGACGGTCTATGGTAGATGCTGTTGGAGCAGCCATACAAGGAGGTGCTACCATTGTTCAATTGAGGTTTGACTGTTAGGTGTTTATGGTTTGTTTCACTTTAAAGCAGCTAATTGTTCCTTCAGGAAAGAAAAAAAAGAGAGAGAAGTTAAACATCCAGTGCTTTGCATATTCCTTGAAGTATCATGCATTTGTCTATCATAATTTTGCTGATTGCATTTCTTGAACTTCCATGATTGTGAGCATTTCATAATGAATCTCTAGTTTGAAGTGTCTAAAGCATTTTTTGGGTCTATGTACTATCATCCTTTTGCAGTTGAATAGGTGCTATTCTACATTCACTTTTAATATGTTGAAGAGTTTCGCTTATAGCTTGATGTCTGCATGGAACAGCTGTTCATGCATAATTTGGAATTGCAAAGGAATATAATTTGTTGATATTAAAAATTTTCTTCATAGGGAGAAGGATGCTGAAACGCAGGATTTTTTGGAAACAGCAAAAGCATGTCTTGCAGTCTGTCGTTCCTATGGAGTCCCACTATTGATAAATGACCGCATTGATGTAGCCCTTGCAAGTGATGCTGATGGGGTACATGTTGGCCAGTCTGACATGCCTGCTTCTGCGGCTCGCACCCTTCTGGGCCCCGAGAAAATAATAGGTGTATCATGCAAGACAATAGAGCAAGCTCAGCAAGCGTGGATTAGCGGTGCAGACTACATCGGTTCTGGTGGAGTGTATTCAACTAACACAAAGGCGAACAATCCCACTATCGGTTTGGATGGGCTAAAAACGGTTTGTTTGGCTTCTAAGCTACCTGTGGTTGCAATTGGTGGGATTAATGCTTCAAATGCAGGCTCTGTTATGAAAATGGAGGTACCAAATCTGAAAGGCGTTGCGGTTGTTTCAGCTCTATTTGACAGGGAAAATGTTTTGACAGAGACAAAGAAGTTGCATGATTTATTAATGGAGCATCATCATCGAAAATCAAATGAAATCCATGCACGGCAACTTTCTGGAAAGTGAAATGGTATTCCAAAAGAGTCCAGTCTCCGCAATGGTTTTGTAGATTTTAAGTGTAGGTAAACTCCTTATAAATTTATTTATTTTTAATTAAGAAGGTTAAATTAGTGAAATCCCAATGATTATGACCCAATAATTTACGGCAACTTGCTAAAATTTTGTAATGGATGAATACTCTCCATTTGGGGTTTTAAATAAAGGTGTTATAACTATTCAAAGAGTAAATGAAAGTCTAGTACTCTTGTTTTTAGTCATATACTAGCATATATTGCACATGTTGCTACAGGGTGAACTGGACAATATTCTTATACGTTTATTCATGTAAAATATAAAATTTAAAAATAATTATTTAAAATGATCATACGAAAAAAATTTAAAAAAATTAGAACACATATTTCATATTTTGCTGCAGGTTTAGTTAAATAAAAAGTTTACAAAGTTGAATAATATAGCATTGCTAATTAGATATTATTTGATATAAATATATGTTTTATTTAAAATATGTATCATAATTGATAATTAAAATAATGATATAACAGTTTTTTGAATTTTATATGATTAATTTTTATCATATATTATTCAACTATAATTTGTTAATGAGATAGAAAGATCATTCAAAACAGTGAATGAATAGATAAAGTGCTTTTTTTAGTTTTTTTTAGAATAGTTTTTAAGAGAATGACCAAAATACCCTTGGGGAGTCAAAAGAGTATTTTGGGAAGAAAAATAATTAAATTTGTGACAATTTAGCACCATATTAAATGAGGAACTAAGTTATAGGTGAAAAATAAAAAGGTAGGGATATGGTACTGGCTTTTTAAACTAGAGGAAATAACTAATTATTTTTCTAAAAATATAGAGGTTAAATAATAAATTATTCTTATTCAACTGGTACTCTATTTTCCAATGGAACAAATGGGATAGTTAATAAGAAAGTAATTCGAGGTGAGCTATCGAGGACAAGGTGAAATTGATGGTGTTTGGGGAACAAACACCTGATGATCGTGTTAATGGCCCCTTCCCATTTCCCAAACTATATATCTTGGCTTGCAAGGCAACATACAGGTGTCGTACCCAACACCCAAATCCCAAATGAAGGGACCCGTCCCTTGTTCATGATCGTGCCAACCGCCATGCGCCAAGCTTAAGCAATGCATAATAATGTCAGTAACAAAACGAAGGCTTTGAAAGCGGCTCCTCCAGTACGAAACATTAATTAGGAGAGGATTAAGACTGCAGCACTGGTTGATAGATTAACGAGAGTGCTTAGGAGTTAAGATAGGTAGTATTCTTTAAGGGTAGCATTGAACAAGATGGCGTTTTGAGATAAAACGGATAATCGGCGTGTTTTTCTTTTACTCTTGATTTTAAATGGATTTTGCCTATATATACATTTTTTGATGGATTCTATTTTTTTCTATAAAGTTTTGTTTTGTATATATATATATATATAACGAATTCTATCTTTCTACTCTTTTAAGTTTCGTCATTTCTATTGTATTGGACTCACGTATAAAAGATATTTGTATTATGGCATGAGAAATTACACATGGAAATTTAAGATATGATTGAAAAACAGAAACAATCCAAATTATTCAAAATTATTTTTTTAGAAAAATAAAATATAAGTTTTGAAAATTTTCAAGAAATAATAGTAAAAAAAGTTTCTAAATAACTCAAATGTCAGAGTTTTAACAAAAATGTTTCAAAAATAAACAGAAATAAAAAAAATCTTAGTCTATTGACTAAAAAATAAGGGTTAAGATTTTCTATTGTTTCTTAATATAATATGTCATGGTTTATTATGTTTGATTAAACTACACTATAGGATTCAAAATAAACATAAATGATTTGTGTATGATAATAAAATGAACTGTACTGCATATCATCAGCACAGCCATCAGACATCTTTGCTCATTCTTTATTTCAGTCAATGAAATTCTTTTTTGCTCAAGAATTTCCCTTTTCTTTCATACGATTATGCATAAAAGAAAAACATGAGCAAATAGCAAAAAAGAACAACCATATCACATGCAACATAAAATCAGAGAAAGGTCAGAGCATTCTGAATCAAGGCTAAACTAACCAATGGTACTATATGTTATTGCAATACCCTCCTTATAATAATGTACATGGCACTTGTAGGGAATAAGGCATTCTTAAATGCTCAAATCCAATCTAGACAACCCAAACATATTAACCCTTTCAAACAAAAACCACTTATATTTATATATATAAAAAACTCTGATAGGGTATTTCAGGTCCTCCTGATTCAAGGATCTCAGCAGCTAGACGTCTTCCTGCTCAACACAGTTGAATTCGATGATGTTTATGACTCTTACGGCAACTCTAATTCTCATACAGTTCAATAATTTCACACCCATCCTACCCAATACGCTACAATTTACAAACATTTATTCAGGACCAGCTCATTGACACACGGTTTTACTCAAAGCGCGAAAGCATCCTATAAATATCCAAAAGATGAACTTAAGATCACGGATGTCCAAGGAAGAGAAAGTGAATCTTAACTGACATGAACTTCCCCACTTGCTTGTGCCTCCTTGACTCTCTTCTCATACTCGTCTTCGTCTTCATCGTCTTTTTCTTCCACAGCCACTGCATCATCTTCGTTTGCATCGACATCTTCTTCTCCTCCCCAGCCAAAGCCTCCAATAGACTGGGATATTGGGGGAGGAATTTTGGCCTCTTCCACGATCTTCATAATTTCTTCAATGCTTTGAGGGGAAAAGGTAGGATTTTCTTTCCTGAAGTACATGGCTTGAGCTGCCTCTGTCAGTTCTCTTGGCAAGTTCTTCAAGAACCATGGATGGCTTTTGATTTCTTTGATTGTGATCCTCTGTAAAAACACATATGGTTCAGAAATGTAGATTACGATTACGGCAGTCGTCGCAAAGAAACAAAAACAGAACACTGAAATGATAACAGTGAGTGATCAAAGGCTGTGAGCTACAAAGTAGCATTTACGCATCCAGAAAAGAAACCATCACTGATGCAGACATCACCTAAGACACACGTGTTGAGAGACAACACACAGTATCTACACACTATGACCTGAAATCTTCTGTCCACATGCTATAAGGGTTCTCAGCATGTTAAAAAAAAAATGTATCCAAATCTCTTAGTGGAACATTTGGCATGAATTAAAATTATTCATAAGATCCAATCATGATAGTTGCACTCCAACTTACTAGCTGAAATTTGGACTGATAACTCTAACAATATGCAATTGCCCTTGGCACATTATATGAAATAAAGAAACATAAAAGCATAAACAAGCAAAGAAAGAAGAATCCCTTGTTCAGTCTTCCTGGTTTCTGATACAAAATTCTAACCAAAAATAAATAAATAAAAATAAAAAATAAAACACAGAGAGAGAAGAAAAGCTCCTCATATTATAATATACAACCAGATTGTTGTTCCCTTAACATGCAGTGGCAGTCATGTGCATGCCGACATGGTGACTCTGTACCTACCAGGATATGAGTTATTTCAATTATTTGATGCAAAAAGAAAAAAACACCAAAAGGTAATGATTCAGCCAATGCATGGAAATTTTAAAATAATAATAATAATAACAGGGGTGATGAGAAGAAAAAATAGCACCAACAACAACAACAATTGTGCAACAGAATTTGATGGTAAGTGGGCAGGTAATTCTCCAATAATGTTTATGATTTTATACATAGTTATATAGGGTGAAACAGATTTATAGATTAAAGTGTCACACCAAAACAGCAACAAAAGTAACAGAAAGTAGGCTTATATCAAAATACTCTATCAGAACAGCAATAAATGAAAAGGAAATCCAAAGAAACTCTAATTTCCCAATATATTAACTCGTGATTGATTAAAACTCAATGAAAGTACATCTACCAACACATGATAGTATGATGTCTCCCTTGTAATATAAGTTGATTGTCATTCCCACACAAGGTTTATGCATACATACTCGGGATGGATTTGCAACAAATATGCGAGAGAGGAGATGTCTGCAATCCTGAGATATGTGGACATGGTCAGGGATCTTGTATTGAACTCCCATAATCCTCTGCAGATAAACAATAAGAAATTCATGGACAGTGAAAAACAAAGAACCATTTGAATAAAAGAAAGGTACAAGAGAATGCATACATTGATTGTTTTCCTGAAATTCTTTGGGTCCTCTTGGTCTTCAAACGGATATGCTCCCACTAGCATAACATACAGAGTCACTCCACAAGACCACACGTCCGCCAACTGAACAAACAGAAATGAAAATTAGCATCACAAGCAAATGTGCATTTTAGTAATTGAAGCCCCAAGCCAATCAAAAAAAGAAGGCAAAGCTCTAATTCACATAGCACAACTGATATGGTTTTTTTTCTCCCTCAGTCTTTGAAGTTTACACAACACTGAATCTGGTCATCACAATGGTTCACAACTACAACAAAAACTAAAATGAAACTGAAATAGGAAGTTCGAGAAAAGGAAACATGGGATGAAAGTACAACTTCAACCAGAAACCTGAAAGACATACAAGAAACAAAGATGTGTATGATATTCTCACAAGCCATAGGAATGATCCCTATAGTTTTGCAGCATGAGTTATAAAGTATTGCAAAGCAAAATTCAGTGTTGGGTTCTGAATGGAAAGGGTTGACAATGGAAATAGAACAGACAAGATCTTTTTCTTTTTACATTTTAAGATTGGGATTTCATAATCTGTTTTTTGGATTTTTATGCCTTTATCACTGAAAGGACATTGTTGGTAGTTAAAAAAAAAGAACAAAATCAAGCCACCTTAGTGAATGAGTTGAAATTTCCTTGAGATGGTTCGCCTGAAATACTCTGAGATTTAATACAGAATAAATCAGATTCTTTGGCCAGTGTATTGCTTTTGAAACAACTGACCTAGGGTCAGAGTTTCAAGTTTTTTCTTCACTTCTACCTGTGAGGATTGAGCTTTGGACTATATATATATATATATATGAGAGAGAGAGAGAGAGTCTAAATCTCAGAAAACCATAGATCTGCTGGTTTTTAGCCTTAATCTCAATTTCATTTGGTTCACAGTCCCACAGTCCACTTGCAGCTGTCAGCTTTTGGCTCTTTTGATGAACTAACAAACAAATAAGCCACCTGAACTCAACTGATGATAGAAACAGAAACAGTGGCAAATGGCTGAAACAAGTTTCATTCAGAACTGATAGCTCACGTCTCTAAAGCTCAAATCTAAACGCAGTAAGTTCAAACTTACAACCGGAGGAGCAGCAAGATTACTATATAACACAGTATAAAGAGTGAAACTAAAATGTTCTCTGTAGAACAGCTACTTATTTTACTCGTATCTTCCAATTGATGATACCGCTCCTACACGCGCACACAAATATTCTGATGATAAAGGATATGAAGTTTCCAAAATCTACATCCAACCAATTCAGATGTCCATGAAATTCTTCTATGCTAGAACCCTAAACCAATTCTGTATACAATCTTAACTTTCTGAACATATGAAGCTTCAACTCAGATGTAATTAAAAAAAAAAAAAAATCTCACAGGCATAACACAAAATGCCAATCCTTCATGCAAAACATGAAAACCACAAATCAATACATGCAAATTAGCCTTGTTGAAATTTCAAAGAAAAATAATTTAGCAAAGCAAAAGGAAATGCAACTGTAATCATCTTAAGCAATCCTGAGTATAACATGGTGAGACATTAATTTTAACAAACAGCTAATTGTTGATGAGTCAGGCTAGTACGCAAACCACCAGCAGATACAGATAAGGTATCTCAGGATGAAATGACCTATGGCACTTAAATCAAAGTAAAAGTTTAGAGAAATATTCAAGCTGTTCAACTAATGATCTCCAATTATTATCAGGATTTAAAAGGAAAACACATAGATTAAAGCTAATCCGAGTTTTACCTTGCCATCATATTCTCTCCGCGAAAGCACCTCCGGAGCAATATAAGCAGGAGTGCCAACTGTAGATTTGGGTCTCGAATGCAGCAAAGATGACTGCACAAATAAAGTTGATAGAAAGATAAAAATTTCACAAATAAAAAAAATATATATATACATATATAAAACTTATAATAGTTAACAATTTGGTTTTCTCAAACAACCTTAGAATAACCAAAATCACAGATTTTCAACCGCGGTGCTGGGCTTCCATCCAACAAGGTATTTTCCAGCTTCAGATCTCTATGGCATATTTGCTGCAAATCATAATATATATATATATATATATATATATATATATATATAAGAGATGAAAACTCGATTGGCAATAACAAGGCATAAATAAATAAACATCATAATACTTTGATTTACCATAGAGTGACAGTAACTAACTCCTGAAATAAGCTGTTGGAAAAAATACCTCGCCTGAAAACGAATAAAAACCAACGTTGTTCAACATATTTTGTATCAAAAAGGCAAATAAGAAAAAGCCAAAAAACAAAAAAAATAAATAAATAAACCTCGTCCTCACTGAATCTTCCAGCATTGCAAATTCGATCGAACAGCTCTCCTCCAGCAGCATACTCCATCACAATAGCAAGATGAGTGGGTGTCAAAACCACCTGCACCAAAAAAAAAAAAAAAAAAAAAAAAAAATGAACAAGAAGCAGCTAAATTATAATTAAACAAAAAAGTTATAGATAAATAAAATAACCTCCTTGAACCGGATTATGTTGGGATGGCGAAGCGACTTGTGATTGATAATCTCTCTTGCCACATTTTCATCAATCTAATCCCGAAAAACAGATCTCAATCAGTCCACCAACACTACACTTTTACTCTACTTCTTCTCTAAAAATAAAATTAAAAATGTTTTTTTCTTTCTTTCTTTCTTTCTTACCTTGCGGCCACGCTCGATGTATTTCATGGCAACCAGTCCTTTGGTTTGTTTGTGCCTCATCAGCCTTGCCACTCCGAAATTACCAGATCCTATATCTTTCACTAGCTCATATTTCTCCATTTCTTTTTTTTTTTTTACTTCTTTATCGATAACTATAAAAACAGAAAAACAAACAAACAAACCCTAAATTCGACTCGATTAATTATACCTCCAGTTTCTCCTTCAATTCATTTCCAAACACCAAAACTATATACTATGACAGAAGAGAGAAAGAGCAGTGGTGGTGGGGAGATAGTTTAAGGAAAGTAAAGAATCTGAAGATGAAATTTGAAAGAAACTGAAAATCGCAAACACCAAAAGAGCAAAGTAAACTTATATATAGAAAACCTGTTTTGTACTGAGAGAATGAATAGTAAGAGGAATCTGAAACTGTAGCTTTTTTTCCCTTTTGTTTTACCTTTTTGCTGTGTTTAGTCAGAGAGAGAGAGAGGGAATGTGTTGTTAAGAAATGGAATATCTCTCCCTCGCGCACAGTTTGAGTGTTGGGTGGGTATTGTGGTCTTTTTCTTTTATTCTATTTTCTTTTTAGGAGTAAATTATAAATTAATCTCTATATTTTTTTTAGAAACGAATTAATTAATCATTTTTATTTTAAAATTTAATAGTTTCGATTCATCAATCTTTCTATATATTTTTTTATTTATTAAAAAATCAAAATAAATTGAAAAAAATAAATAAATAATTAGTTTAACAAGGATGATTAATTAATTTTTTTTAAATAGAGGGAGTAATTTATAATTTACTCTTTCTATATTCTGAGCTTTGCTTTCTTGTTTGTTTTATTTGATTGTCCAAATTTACATTTATGGCTAAATATCAAAAAGGGAAAAAAATAATAATACATATTTTATAATTCATTTTTATACTTAGAAAAGAACTCAGAAATTTTATTTTCTGTAAATTACGAGAACTCTCATTTGCGTATGTCAACTTATATTTCCAAAATAAACCATTATTTTGTTATTTCTTTCCTTTTTTATGGAAAATCTAATCACTATCCACCTAATTGTTGATTTGGATTTTTTCGTCCAAATATAACTTTGAAAATCAATAACAACATGGTGACGATGATGATAACGTTATATCCATATTCTTATGATCAGACTCCGTTCAATTCATTCCTTTAAACTTATAATGATCATACTAAATCCATATTCTCAATTATGAAGTGAAAATAACTTTATACAAATAGTATACCAATCATAAAGTTCTTGTCGCACTGTTTATAGACAATCCAAACATGTTATAAACATATATTAGTTTTTTTATCCGATTTATGCTATATATCGGATAAAACATATAAAATTATTTTTAAAAAATTATTTCATTTTGATGTCCCATGCTATATTATGTGTTTATCAAAATATATCAAATTAAAACTAAATAAAAATTCATTCAATTTAATAATTTTTAATTAAAATTTTGTATTTGACTAATTATTCTTTATATTTTCATAATTTTTTATTAAAAAATATTATTTATTTATCTCTATCTATATTTTTAGCTCAAAAGTTATTTTGTAAATTATTTTTTATAAACATCTTTTTATCTTAAATTTTTTAATTAAAAATAAAAAAAGGATCAAAGTGACAAAAAAAAACAAAAAAAAAATCAAAATAAAATAAAAAATTTTACGAACAAAAAAAATAATGTTTTAAAAAAAATCAAAGTGTAATTTTACATAAACTTTGATGATAAATATATTAAAAAATTTTGAAAACCATAAGGAGAAAAAAAAAAAAAGCACCACTGTATAGTAATATAAATATAATGCATATGAGTATAAATAAATAGTATTTTAAACAGTATTAGTGAAGAAAAAAAAGAATGTTAGTGAATAGTAAACTAACCGTTTTGAATTATTATTATTACTATTATTATTTGTTAATATACCACATCATAAGTTAAAATTATGTCAAAAATCAAAATATATTAACAAAATGTTGGCTTTAAAATATTGTTAATCGTAATATTGAAAAGAACATATATTAAACAAATGATGTAAAATTCAAAAATAAAAATTATAAATGAAATCATAAATCAAAAGACTGAAGATACTTTGCTTAATGAATACATCCACGATCTGATGGTAGCAATGTGAGATCGACTATTGATCTTAATAAAAATCGTAATCGCAATCATGAAAGTATAAACCTTTAGCATTGTATCTTTTGTGTTGATTAGATAGATCCTCCGACAACACATACAAAAACCAAATAAAACAAGATGATGAAAAAGACTCGAAAACGACGAATTATAGAGAAATATCCGTATAAAACATAGCTCTATTGAAAATCGAGAGAGCGTGGAGGAGGGAGAGGACGTGGAGGAAAGAGAAGATTTTAGAAGAGTGAAACACGAGGACGTTCAAATAAAATATTTTTTATTTTAAAGCAGTACTGTGCCTTCGCATTGCAAATGCTTGGTTGTTTGCAAATAAGGAAGTTTTTATTTTTCTCGCCAAAATATTCATTTTCCTTTAAACCTATTATTCAACTTTAAAACTTAATAAAAATTATTTAAATTTGATGATTAAACTCTCCTTTTTCATTAGAGTAAATTATATACTTGGTGTATGAATTTTTTTTTTTTTTGTGTATCTACTTTTATTTTTGCTGTTTAAGTTGTTAAATTTTCAAACTTTTTCCAATCTAATGGTTTATTTCAGATCAATCGAGATTTTGTTAATGCATTCTTTTTATATATATATATATATTAAAGCATTAAAGTTAGCAGCACAGCAGCACATGGATGGAAGGGGACATTTTCATTTTTCATGGAGCACTAAACGAACCTAGGAAAAAAAAAAAACTTCCATTTCCTTCATTTTTTTTTAAATTATTCTGACTGGAGCATAGCTATTAATATAAAGCAAAAAAATAAAATAAAAAAGTGACTGAACCCGTTGAAAGAACTTCTATGGAAGAAAGAAAATTGAATGCATGAACCAAGAATCCAAAAATTAATATGAATCTCTTCCTCAAAACTTCAATATGTTTCATCTTTGGTTAACAAAAACCACCAATAAAATTTTTTAAAAACAAATTGATTCCATAGTACCTTGTACTGTTAGTTAGACATTGATCGGTACTTTAACTTTAATTTTTTCAATTCAAGTAATATGATTATATTTTAGTTTGTAATAAAGTCGATCGATACCGTTAATCAAATCTCGGACACACGTGATAGATATATAATGATGAAATGACCAAAAAAATCCATACCTAGATTAAATTAACAAACACATATTTTTTTCTTCCATTCTTTTTTTTTTTTTTTTGCACTTACCTAATTCTCTCATCTCTTCGATCATCAAGAATTTCAAAAGTCACAAACCGACATAAAAAGGTTGTAGATAAATTTAACGAGATATAATATAATTATAGACTAGTTAGCTTTTCGCGCTACGATACAAACCGAATCAAACATATTTATTTTAGTTTGACAATATGTATTATGTTGTTAGTCAATAAAAATATATTAAATTAAAGATAAAATTTCATATAATTTTATAATTTTTAATCAAAATCTTGCATCTATTTTTTGTTTATTTTTAATAATTTTTTTTAGTTAAAAAAATGATCTATTCTTTTGTATGCATTTATTCTTAAATAAAAATATGTAATAATCTAAATGTAAAATTTTAAAAATATTTTTTAACATCATTTTTCGTAACATTGTATCAAAGAAATAACAAAACATAAAAACCTAAATAAAAATTAACAAATAACTTTTTTTATTCTTGATTAACACTAATGAGAAGAATGTTTTTTTTTAAAGTATGTACATTTGATATATATGTGTGTGTGTGTGTGTGTGTGTGAATTATTAGGCAATTCTTTTAAAACATTATTTTAACTACTTTATTTGAAAAAAATATTTTTAAAATATTAAAAAATAGCACTCGGTTGGTATTACGCATGTAGATACATAGTTAATTTATAATAAAATCAATAACTCTAATATATATATTTTTTATACATTATGATTGTACTTATTGGGTCGAGTGTGCAACATAAACCGATTTTTTTTTAAAAAAAATAAGTTGTAAAAAAAATATATCGAAGTCGGTAGGGTGCAATAAAAAAAAGTTGATTTCGAAAAATTTTGATTATATAGAGAATAAGTAAATAAAACACGTGAATTATATTTTTAAAATTCGACTTTATAAAAAAAAAGCAAATAAAAGCAACAAAAAAAACTATTCAAAAATCCATAAATAAGAGAAAATAAATCATATTTATTAACACATAAAATTACATAAAAAAAGAATAAAAAATTAATCCAATGAGAATTTTTATAAGAAATGAAAAATTAAAGAGATTAATTTTAAATAATAAGAATAATATAATCCAAATATATATATATATATATATATTTCAAAACCTTCATCTTCTATGAAAAAAAATTAATTTTTTATTATCTTCACACCCAATTCAATAAGTAAAAAAAAAAAATTGGTGAAAAAAAAAGAGAATAAAAATAGTATTTTTCATATTTTTCACACCTAATTCAATTAGAAAAAAAAACATAAATTAACGGGAAAAAAAAGAGAGAGAGAGAGAGAGGCAGGCCTGCTTTCCTGCCTTGGGCCTGCCTGCAGCAGGCCTAGAGAACAAACAGCCCAGGGAGTTAAAAATTTTTGATAAATTGAAAGTTACGTTGATTGATTCAAAGAACGGTTGGAAGGCTTTCGTATTGATCTAAAACTCTACATAGCATAGACACATATAGATGGATCAAATACATGATTTCTAATTTTTCTAAATGGCCTGATTTTTTTTTTTTTTTGGATTTGTCCTTCTTTCAAGTAATTGAAAAACTGGACTCAGATATGTAATTTTTATTGTTCTAAGTTCATTAAAAATCTAATGTTGACTTAAAATTTGTTGTTATATTAATTAATTTAAAATATATCGAACTTAACATGCATCAACTTAACTTCAAAAATCTATATAAAAAATCATATTCACCATGTTCATAATTTATTACTCTGATTTATAGAAAAAAAAAACTTTATTTAAATTTTGGGATGGTCTTTTTTTGTGATTAATTCAAATAATTTATAGTTAAACTTATTATTTAGTATTTTAAACACCGTAATATTTAATATTTCAATATAATTTTGTTGAGCTTTCTCTGATTGCCCACGGTAACATGTAGGTGATCTGACTAGAAACTTCCTAAAGACGTGTTATTATATATATATATATATTATGGATTCTAGTTGGCAAAAGAAAGGGATTTTCTGGTTCTTGACATTACAGCTCCTTTTGGTGTATCTATTCATGGAGAGAGAGAACAATGTTTAAAGTTTTATGAGTTTAATTAGAATGTGCAATTCATTTTGATTTCATGGAGAATGCATTTTTTATAACGTTGGAACACGTAATTAGAATGTGTAATTTGTTTTGATTTTATGGAGAAAATATTTTTTATAATGCTGGAATACGTAGTTATATAAATTCTTGCGGTGTTTTCTATTTCTGTAACTTTCAAATATAAGTAAGCAGTTCAATACATGTTTAAGTTCTTTATGATCGTTTTGTTTATTTGAATTATTGAGTAAAATTTTATTATTTTCAATTTAATTAATTAAGAGGTTAAAATCACACATAAATATGTCATTGATTTCAAGTAAAATAAGATTATTTTTAATAGCAAGCATTTTACAATTACTATTTTTGAAGTGAAAATTTTTGAGAAACAAATGTTAGAAAACATATTATGAGTTAAGGAAAAAAATTTTATTGAATTTTCTGCTGTCCTAAGATACATTTGATAGATTGAAAAAAGAAACTTTAAATACTATTGACATATGTATACATATGCATACATGCATATACCACGTCGATTTAATATGTAACTTGTTTGCTTTGTTTGAACATATTAATATTTATAGACTTTAATTTTTGTTTAAAAAAATAAATAGTTTTGTTTGTTAAACTCGCAACATCGGTAAAACATTAAATCGGTAAATAATTGATGAGTTGCTTGACATCTTTTTTTGTGTTCTAATTTCGAAAACGGGATATGAAAACATGTTTGTTTTCGTTTCTCGCTTCAAAAAATAAAATTGGAACAAGTTTTGAAAATCTTTGAAAAAGCAAAAGGTCTTTAAAAACTAATTTTTACACTATAATCATATGTTTTGGAAGTCGGGTAAGATTTAAGAGTCAATAAATGATCAAATATCATGTGGGGTTGGGAATTCGGACCGAGATTTGGTTTGAAACACCTAGGGTTTAGATTGAAACTTGGTAAAGAGCATCCAAATTTTGGGTCGAGACTCGGTCCAAGGCGCCTAAAGTTTGAGCTGGATCGGATCCGGGAATTTCGAGGTTAATCTAGAACTAGACTTGAGGGGCTATGGTTTCGAGCCGGAAACGGCTATAACATGCTTAGGGTTGGGGGGGGAGGCTAAACATGATGTGCCCGATTGTCTAGTCGTGACCTCGTTTGGAGCGCCCATAATGGGATCGAGTTCGGAACAAAAGGATTGTACCGAAACTAAATTTGAAGCTCTAAGGTATTAGGTCGAGATAAGGTCCTCGACTCTCTAAGATCGAGTTAGATGCACTCAAGTTTCGAATCCGAGGACCTAAATATCGGTTCCAATAACTCGAATATGTGATTGAAACTAAGTGATTTTTTGAGAGAAAAAAAATTAAAATAAAAAGCTACTCAACCAAACAAGTTTCATTTTTTTAAAAATAAATAAAACTAAAATATCGAAAAAAAGAAAATAATGAAAACAAAAATGATAGAAAGTCTGTTGAAAAAATGAAGATTAAATCATAAATTAATCAATCTAGTTTCGAGAAATAAATTAACTAGTCATTTTATTTCAAAAACTAATTATTTAATTCTTATATTTTTATTTTTTTAACTTGATTCTTTTCGAACATTTCAATTTATTTTAAGAAATAGAGAAAAAAGAGTAAAAATATGAAAGAACTGATGAAAAAAAATATTTTATTAAATAAACTAATTTTAAATTAAACAGATTCAATATCAATCAAGATACTAAATAATAATTTATTTTTTAAACAAAAAGAACTAATTTATCTATTTCTAAACAATAAAAGGACTAATTTATAATTTACAAAAAAAAAAAAGCGTCCGTATGCACGATCCATACAAGGACTTAAATAAATCGTTTACTTAACTAATAAAAAAGCGTTAAGAAGTTGCCAATCTTAAAACCCGAACATACATTACTGTCTCTCCACTCTCCTTTTTTTCTCTGCAAATCAGAGCAAAGCGAGAGAAATTCATCCGTCTTTGAGGAAAAGATTTCTGAAAAAAAGAGGAAAGAGATTCGATTTGATTGACTCAATCTGGACCGTCAGATCCCACCGTCACCGGAGATCGCCATGTCCTCCGCCACCACCGTTCGATCCCTTCCTCTCCTCGCCGTCATTTCCCTCCTCCTCCTCCTCTCTCCCGTTCTTGCCTTTGACGCAGATCACAGGGTAAACTGAAAATTTGATAACTCAAACCCTATTTGCTTTGTTTTCTTTTGACTCAGGTGCACTCATCAGCTATATCTGGCAGATCTTGTTATTTAGGTTTTATGAATTCAGGTCTCGAATTTTACTCAGATCTGTTAGGTTTTGCATCATTTTCGCGTAAAAGATGCTTAGCTTAACGAATCATTGCAAAGTTGGATCTGATTACGGCCTGATCTTTTTTTGTATTACATTTTAGTGAATTGTTTGGTTAATTTTCGTTGGGAAACACTCTTTGTAGCTTATTTGGGTTTGGTACCTAAAACACTTCTTGAATTTTTCTAAGCTATCGTGCATCTTGTTTAGTTGATTGATGTTCATGGATCGAGTCTCAATTTCGCAAATGACAGTTTATACATTGCATTGCGAAAGGTGCTTTGTTTGTATTATCTTCGATGGTAAGATTTGATGCGGAAATTCACTTCCGATTGAATGCACAATGTTTTTATGGATAGGATGAAGTTAATTAGGAGCAATCAAAGTTGAATTTGTTGAGGAAGGATTTTGGAAAGTACTGCTAGATGTAGCATTTCATGTTTATGTTGTCAGTCAGAGGACTTATGACTTAGCATGCTGAAGGTTACTCTTTTTAGTTGATTTACAACTTGTTTTTAGATAGATATATGAGGAACGAGAGCACACTGGAAAGAGTGACCAACCATCTAGAGTGGGAAACAGATTCCTTTTTTGGTAGCATAGTGATATTTCTTGTCTTAGTATGCTAATAGTAATATTTGCTTACTCCTGTCTTTGTTTGAGCTATAACTAGGTTGAATCCTTTCCCTTATGACCCAATGTCAAAATGAATGTTCTGATGAAATGTCTTCTGTAATCAATCACTTTCCATGCTTTTAATTTACTCTTCAATGACGTTTTTTTTTCCTTTCAAAAATTACTTCTGCAGTATCGACAAGATGAACCCGTTAACCTTTGGGTAAATAAAGTGGGTCCTTACAACAATCCACAAGAGACATATAACTATTACAGCCTTCCATTTTGCCGTCCATCTGCCAATGATGCTACACACAAATGGGGTGGCCTTGGTGAGGTCCTTGGTGGAAATGAGCTTATTGATAGCCAAATTGACATAAAGTTTGGGAGTACGTAAATTCTTTTCCTGTGCATTAACTTTTCTGGTGGAATGTGTCCATGTATTTTTTGTTGCATTTATTTTGACATCCTTTTTCTTCTTCTTCTTCTTCTTCTTTTTTTTTTTTTTTTTTTTTTTTTTTTTTTTTTTTAACAGAGAATGTGGACAAAGGTCTTATTTGTCAGCTTGAACTTGATGAAGCAAAGGTCAAAAAATTCAAGGATGCAATTGAGAATAGTTATTGGCTCGAATTCTTTGTGGGTATGTTTTGAGCTGTATTCTCAGATGCGTTCCTTATGTGGATGAAAGCATTGTAGTGTGTATGTTTATTAGATATCAGTGTGATTGGGCTTCTGTTTATTTAATGGTCACAACTCCTTTACCCTGTTTGTGCTTCCTTCCCTCTATCATGCTGCATGAGTGTGTGTGGGTGTGGTTTATTTTTTCCTGGAGTCTTATGTGATCTTTTAAATTATACTAAGTTGCCTTAGTATATGTTGGGACACTCACTGTTTACTTTTTTTGGCCTCTCGGATCATCATCTTTGGGATTCTAATTGCAAGTCCAGATGATCTGCCATTATGGGGTATGTACTCACTGAACTTATATTGTTGTACTGTTCTCTTGATGTGTTTGGATAATATATTCTTGAATATATTATTATTTATATTTTAGGTTTTGTTGGTGAGTTGCGTCCTGACAAGAACAGTGATAATGGCAAGCATGTCCTTTTCACGCACAAGAGCATCACTATCAAATATAATAAAGACCAGGTTTGTGGTTACTGAACTTTTATATTACTTCTATTAATGGCATTACTAGTATTATTATTATTTCTTATATCAATGTTAAGCATCTTTTCTTGCAGATTATTCATGTCAATCTTACACAAGATAATCCAAAGCCCCTTGAAGCTGGGAAAATATTGGACATGACATATTCTGTCAAATGGAGTTCGACTAATGTCAGTTTTGCACGTCGCTTCGATGTTTATTTGGACTACCCCTTCTTTGAGCATCAGGTAAAAAGTAACAATGGTTCAGTATCGTGCTTCTCATTGTTTGCTACTCTTGATTTACAATGTTTCATTAGTTCTACAAAATCATTTTGATTATGGGTTGGATTATTGGTTGTTTAATTGTGTAATTTGTCTATTTGTTTAACTTTTACTTATTTAGTTGTAAATGCTTTTGAAAGTGCAGATCCATTGGTTTTCCATCTTCAATTCATTCATGATGGTTATCTTTCTCACCGGTTTAGTGTCAATGATTTTGATGCGGACTCTTAGAAATGACTATGCAAAATATGCTCGGGAAGATGATGATCTGGTGGAGTCTCTGGTAATGCTTTTTTTTTTTTTTAATTCTGATTTCATGGGCGTTATTATTGTTATTGATTATTTGGTGGGCTTACTGAGAATAACTTTTTGTCTTTGATTTTTTTTTTCCATAGAATTTTAGTGGATTCTTAAATCTTTTTTTTTTTCAATATATTATTTTTTTCAAAATATGCAAAATATATTGTTATTGCAATAGAACTGCAACTTGGAAAATTGTGCTAATTATTCTGACAACTGCAACTTGCAAAATTGTGCTAATTATTCTGACATTTTTCTCAGGAAAGAGATGTTAGTGAGGAGACTGGTTGGAAACTTGTTCATGGGGATGTTTTCCGTACACCTCGCAGTTTGGTTCTTCTCTCAGCTGTTGTTGGAACAGGTGCTCAGCTAGCAATGCTTGTGCTTCTTGTCATCTTGATGGCAATTGTTGGAACGTTGTATGTCGGGTATGTTGAGATATCACTCTGAAATACATGGATTAACCCTTTTCAACATGGCTAGTCTCTATTTCTCCCGCATCTTATACAATTTATCATATTCATGTGTTTTATAATTTATCATAAGCTGGTAAATTTAATGTTTGACCTTACAATTCGTTGTAATTATCACCTTTTTGAACTATATTGCTGGTGCATAATACCGGTGTTTGCAATTTCCTTGAAGATCGTTATCTTGAACTTCTCCTCTTGTCATACTCTGCACTGTCTTCTTTAAAATGGTCTCCATTTAAGATTTGTTTTGTAATGTCATCCTGCAACATACTTGTTAAATGATTCTCAATGACATGTTGGCTTTCAAGTTACATCTTCATTTATTATAGATGTGGAATCAAAATGCCCTAGTTTCATCTTCTTAGGACATCTACATTTTCCAATCCTGGCATGCTTGTTAAATCTTCTATTTTCTGTTTAATTCAAACAACCCTCACATTTGCCTTCCTATTTTTCTCATTGATCAAACCACCACTGATGTTGGAGATTTTGACATCACCTTCAGACTTCATGGGGCCAGTGTGTTAAGAAATATATATTTGGTGCAATTGGTGGTGCGAGTTTGGTGCACTTCGATTGGGATAAGGGAAATTAATGACTGGATTGACATTTGTGATTTTTCTCTCAAGGATTATGGATGAGTTGCAACTTTGGATTCTTGGAATACTTTGGTTGCGTGCTGGGATTGAGTTTGGTATACATTTACAGATACAAACATAGAATGGGATTCATTTGGTTCATCTCATTTCATGCTTTGCTGTTTCATTGGCTGGAATTAATCTGCATTGGGGATTTTGTCAATTAACAATAAATTTAGTTTAATTCTGCTTTCTCATCTTTTGTTGTGGTATATATGTTATTGAAATTGAGAGAAATGGAGTTCTCTTTTTTTGAGCATTTCAAATATAACTTCAATTTTCTTTGATAATGAATCATGTATATCGGTTTTGTTATGAGTGCTTGCATCTTTGAATGATTGCATCGCAGACTGATGGTTGTGTCAAATTCGCTTGGATCTGGTTTGCTGCTGAAAATGCTGAAAAAGTGGAGAAAGGGACAGGAGATGGAAGATGTTTGTGGAAAGAATTTAGTTAGAATAGTGATATTGTTAACACCATCCTCTTGACATTGGTCTTTGGGTGGATACTGAATGTCCTGAAATTAAGTTGTGTAAACTGTAACCAGCAAAAAAGTTAGGGGTGTTCTTTTTGATATTTTCTGTTGTGATTTTTTTTTCTCTTCTTTCAGTCATTGTTTATGTGGTAAAGTTTGATGGTATTAATGTGCTGCAGGAGAGGAGCAATTGTCACTACTTTCATAATATGCTATGCTCTCACATCATTCATTGCTGGTTATGTGAGCGGAGGGATGTATTCTCGCCATGGAGGTATGTATCTTTATCCATTAATCAACTGATTTTTCTGTTTTGTTTCCTCATTTATCGTTTGCTTATGGCTTTATTTTGGTTGCCAGGTAAAAATTGGATCAAGTCGATGATTCTCACTGCTTGTCTATTTCCATTTATGTGCTTTGGGATTGGATTTATCCTGAACACAATTGCCATATTCTATGGGTCTTTAGCAGCCATTCCCTTTGGCACCATGGTAGTAGTTTTTGTAATTTGGGCTTTCATTTCCTTCCCTCTGGCTCTTCTTGGCACTGTTGTTGGAAGAAATTGGAGTGGTGCCCCCAACAATCCTTGCCGTGTGAAAACCATTCCCCGTCCAATTCCTGAGAAGAAATGGTACCTTACACCATCTGTGGTCTCGATGATGGGAGGACTTTTGCCCTTTGGCAGCATATTCATTGAGATGTACTTTGTCTTCACATCCTTCTGGAATTACAAGGTGAATGTTTCTCCTTAATTGTTGATTGGCCCAAGAAAAAATATCTCAATCTCTTGTATAATGATTGTTTCTTGATATCCCTGATTTCATGTTGTGTTTTTTTGTGTGGATGAGAACCAGAAAATATCTCAATTGAGATGTAATTTTGTGTAGCAGGTTAAGGCATACAACTGCCATCTAATATGTATGACAGTAGTTTGATACATTGCCAGACTTCAAGCGAGTTTAATTCTATAAAAACCTTGTTGCCTAATGACCTATTCGGAATTCTATTTCACAAGGGCATGCACATGCTTATCTATGTCTGGTCAAATCTTCTTAAACGAATGAAGAACTTCAACAGAATTGTAAAAATATGAACTTGAGTAACAATTTTCTCGGGTATCCTATTCTAGTTTTTACTGCTTTTTGACTGATTGTTAGGCCTGTTCAGATAGGTTTTATGCAAATTAAAATGTTTCTGATAACTCTTTTTTTTTTTTTTTGCATGGATGAGAACCAGAAAACAAATGCATAATACAGATTAAGCTATGTTTCTGATTGATGTTCTACTAACCTTGCTCCTGATACTGGTTGACAGGTGTACTATGTATACGGCTTTATGTTGCTTGTTTTCCTGATACTCATTATTGTTACAGTTTGTGTAACAATTGTGGGAACATATTTCTTGCTTAATGCGGAGAACTATCACTGGCAGTGGACTTCATTCTTCTCTGCTGCATCAACAGCTGTTTATGTGTACTTGTACTCAATATATTACTACTACGTGAAGACTAAGATGTCCGGCTTCTTCCAGACCAGCTTCTATTTTGGATACACTTTGATGTTCTGTCTTGGATTAGGAATTCTCTGCGGTAAGTTGATATTTTTGTTGTTTATGATGCATAATTCCTTGGTGTTGACTTATTGTAATGTCTATTCTCATTAAATTTTCCCATCTTGGTTCTCATGGGAAACTGAATATACTTGTTGTAGTTTTGTCCAGTAGTAATCTGTGATACGGTCCCCTGATACAATCAGTTGCTGGTAGATAGCTAATACTAGCAATTTTTGTATTCATTGATGCAATTTAACTGGCCAGGACTTGGGAGCAAGGATGCCCTAATTCTACTTTTTTTTTTCTTAATGATTGATTGGATCATTTTTTTTTTTTGGCATGTGCAGGAGCTGTTGGTTATCTAGGATCTAATTTGTTTGTGAGGAGGATCTATAAGAACATAAAATGCGACTAGAACTTCACCGAGGAAATTTAGACCTGATTGTGCTTCCTCAGAGCATATTCTTATTGTTGAGACAATAATTTTTGAGATGAAGACTCTGGTTATGGGACTCAACAATGCAACAGATGAAACAGGGTTTTGGGATGGGGGATGTATGCTTCTTTCTATGGACCAAGGGAAGCCCCGAAATGTTTTTAGGTTTTCTTCCCCGGCTGTAAGTGAAAGTCTTAATTTAGAATTCAGAGATTGTTTTTGTAATCTGTGAAGCTAGAAAGATATATCAAACGCCTGTCATTTTCTTAATACGTTTTCTTATGGAGGTAGGTGCACTACAGAAAGGACTGATGCCTATTTTCCTTTTTTTTGTTGAATTTGATTTTATTATTTACTGATTTTGGGAAGAATGGTCATGTTTAGGTTCAGGAAATGCATTTTTGCGCAGCTGCAAAAACATATATGCTATTTTCACTAGTTTCTGCAGGTCTTTCCCAATGAACAGGCTTGTAATTTCTTGATCAACTTCCTCGTGAGAAGCAAAATCTTGTCCCGACCAGTTTTCTGGATTCCACCAAACACGAATTGAACTCCTTGAATTCACAGCCATAAACGTCCGAACACTAGAAGCAGTTTATTTTAAGTGCTGCTAGTGTTTATCCTACTTTGTATATCAATGGTTTACTTGGTTCTTGTGAATCTAGAGGTACGTTGAGTGCAATTTTGTCTGGCCCTGGTCGACATGTGTAGTTTTAAGTCCCGAAGACCATCAATTTTGTGGCCTGTTTTCCCAGATGAAGGGTTTGAAGAACGATAGGGTTTTCACAGTTGAAGAGATTAGACCGATGGTGTTCACATCCACAGATGTGGCGTTCGTAACATGATGTGTGGCTGGGTTTATGTTCTCTTTATTAGTGATGATGAGAGGATAAAAAATATCCTCCCCTCTCCTATTATTAAAATAAATCCACGTAATGCATTGATCTAAAAAGAAAGTCATTGGAACGTGCCAACCGCAGTTACAAACAAATTTGTGAATGGGGAACCTCTGTCTGGAGATAATAGAAAGATAACGCAAACCACGAAAAAATGTTGCCATTTTGCAGATAGGATTATCTGCCACTTCACCTCTCCAATTCTTAACCACACCATTTCCACAAGCCTCCCTTTTATCACTCTTTAACAGCAGCTGCCTGTCCCACTGCCTTTAGCGTCCCACGCTCGCACTCAATACAGAAAGAAAGAAAGAATGGCCACCCCAGCAGCCCTCTCCAGCGCCATGTTTAGCACCTCTTTTGCTCGCCGAAAGCCAGCGACGAGCCTACGGGCTCTTCCCAACGTGGGGCAGGCTCTTTTTGGCTTAAAAGCCAGTCGGGGAGGACGTGTTAAAGCAATGGCAACATACAAAGTGAAGCTTATCACTCCTAATGGTGAAGAAGAGTTTGAATGCCCTGATGACACGTACATCCTTGACTACGCCGAGGAGGCGCATGATATTGACCTCCCATACTCTTGCAGGGCTGGTGCTTGCTCTTCATGTGCTGGCAAGATTGTGGAAGGGAGTGTGGATCAGTCTGATGCTACCTTCCTTGACAATGACCAGCTAGAGGCGGGTTGGGTTCTTACTTGTGTTGCTTATCCTACCTCTGATGTTGTCATTGAGACGCACAAAGAGGAGGAGCTTGCTGCTTAATTAATCACAACGAAAGACCTCTTGCTGTGTGTGTCGGTCGTGTTCTAAGGGGGATATAATTTGTTTTATCTTTCTTGTTATTGAGTATGTAATTTAATTTTTCCAAGTTTTCTTCGTTCATTTGTAGTCTCAAACTGACCTGTTGTAACTTGATAAATTTGGGATACGGGTTTTGTCTAGACTCAAGTTGTTCATAAAAATTAATTAAAATTTTAGTTAATTTTAAAATGTATTAATTTATGTTTTTTTTTTTTTTTTTTTTTTTAAAACTTTGACATAACTTTTATCTATATAATAAATAGATTAGACTGAAAATAGATTTTAATCGATACAAAGTTTTGACATTTACAAAGATGAACACGATTGTTCTAATAAAACAAATATTCATATCTTATATTTGGGATGCATTAAGAATATTAACTTGGTTAACTTGGACTAAGATCGATTAAAAGAAAGCACGATTTTTTTTATCACTTGCTAGTAAGTTGAACTAATTTAAACCAAAAGAATTCAATTTTCTTTTTTTAAATTTAAATTTTATCGTCCAAACATGAATGAATAACAAGATTATTTTTAATTCACTGTAAATACCAAATTTACATTATCATGAAGGGATCTCTAGCTTTTAAACATTGGCAAAAAAAATATCTGAATATTCTTTTTCAAAAGTCTTCCATTTATATATTAGACATCATCTAAAAGTCCATTTGTTGGATTTTGATAACTCACCTACTAGTCATTTGACTTGCGTTTTGTTATCACTATCTATTTTTTTTTTCACACCTCTCTCTATTCTTGTTGTTTATGATGCATAATGCCTTAGTCGCTATTGTCTTGGTGTTGACTTATTTTAATGTCTATTCTCATTACATTTTCACATCTTGTACCGAGGAAATTTAGACCTGACTGTGCTTCCTTAGAGCATGTTCTTATTGTTGAGACAATAATTTTTTTAGATGAATCCTCGTTATGTATTGGGAGTCAACAATGCAACAGATGAAACATGGTTCTGGGATAGGGAATGTATGCTTCTTTCTCTGGACCAAGGGAAGCCCTAAAATGTTTTTTGGTTTTCTTCACCGGCTGTAAGTGAAACTCTTAATTTAGAATCCAGAGATTGTTTTTGTAATATGTGAAGCTAGAAAGAAATATCAAATGCCTGTCATTTTCTTACACATTTCTATAGAACCCTTTTTGTTAAATTTGATTGTATTATTTACTGATTTTCTGAAGAATTGTTAAGTTTAGGTTCAGGAAATGCATTTTGCGCAGCTGCGAAACCATATGTGCCATTTTCACTTGTTTCTGCCAAGCATTTCATATTGAACAGGCTTGTAGTATCTTGATCAACTTACTCTTGAGAAACAACATCTAATCAGGGCCAGTTTTCTGGATTCCACCAAACACGAATCGAACCTCTTGAATGCACAGCCATAAATATCCAAACATTACAAGCTGCATGCAGTGTAGGTCTGCTAGAGTGTCTAATTATCCTACTTTGTTCTATCAATGTTTTACTTGTTCTTGTGAATTAAGAGGAGCACGAGTGCAATTTTGTCTGGCTTTTAAATCCTGAAGATCATCAATTTAGTGGTCTGTTTTTCCAGATAAATGATTCGTGGAACGGTAGGGTTTTCAAAGTTGAAGAGGTTAGGCCATAATTCCAAATAATTGGACGTTCCGATCCAGATGTTGTATAATATAATGATAATGATCGTTATTTAACGGATTAGGATAATATACATTATCTTCATAAAAAATATAATGATATTTTTATCATTATTTAGTTGTTATTTAATAAATAACAGTCATTATTTTTATATTTTTTTATTTTTTTTATCAGTTTTTTATTTTAAAGTACTAGAAGCATTACGATCATGTTTACAATTATATCTTCAACTTGAAACTATCAATTAGACGAATACGGTTCACATGTATTGGTGTGGGTTTCATAACATGATGAGTGGCTGGTCTTGTGTTAACGTTGGCTTTTATCTGTGATGACGAGAGGGTGAGAAAGTGCGAGCTGCGTGAGGCCTCAAAACATCCTCTCGTCCCCGATTATTAAAATAAATCCACGTAATGCATTGCTCTAAGAAAAAGGATTGTGCCAACCACAGCGACGAACAAATTTTGTGAATGGTGAACCTCTGTGTGGTGATAACGGGAAGATAACGCAAACCACAAAAGGTTGCCATTTGGCAGATAGGGTTATATGCCACTTCACCTCTCCAATTCTTAACCACACCATTTCCTCGAGCCTCCCATTTATCATTCTAACACTAGCTAGTAGCTTCTTTCACTGCCTTTAGCTTCCCACACTCATACTCAAGAGAGAGAGAGAGAGAGAGAGAGAGAGAATGGCCACCACAGCAGCCCTCTCCAGCGCCATGGTTAGCACCTCTTTCGCTCCCCAAAAGCCGGTGACGAGCCTACGGGCTCTTCCCAACGTGGGGCAGGCTCTTTTCGGGTTAAAAGCCAGTCGGGGAGGACGTGTTAAGGCAATGGCAACTTACAAAGTGACGCTTATCACTCCTGATGGTAAAGTAGACTTCGAATGCCCCGATGGCGAGTACATCCTTGACCGGGCTGAGGAGGGACCTCAAGTTGACCTCCCATTCTCTTGCAGGGCTGGTGCTTGCTCTTCATGCGCTGGCAAGATTGTGGAAGGGAGTGTGGATCAGGCTGATGGTAGCTTTCTTGATGATGACCAGCTAGAGGCGGGTTGGGTTCTCACTTGTGTTGCTAGACCTACGTCTGACGTTGTCATTGAGACGCACAAAGAGGAGGAACTCGTTGAGTATTAATCGCAACTAAAGACCTCTTGCAGTGTGTGCCGGTCGTGTTCCGAGGGGGATATGATCGATTTGTTTTCTTTCTTGTTACTGAGTATGTAATTTAATTCTTCTAAAGTTTTTCTTCTTTCCTTTGTAGTCTCAAATGAACCTGTTGTTACTTAATAAATTTTGGTATCTGGGGTTTTTTTCCCAAGCAATGGATCTCTCGCTTTTCATAGGATTATTTAATTTTAATATTTATTATTATTATTATTATTATTATTTGGTGTTTAGTTATTTAATTTTAGTAAAAAAAAATAAGTTATTGATATTTGAATTCGTAATCCTTAGTCATTAAAATTTTTACATTATATTAAAAATTTATCTCAAATCATTTTTTTTTAAAAAAAAATTTATATTATTTTTTAACAAAGTAAAACCTATTTGAATTTCAAATTTAATTCTATCTCAATAACTTGTAACTTAACCTAATCTTAACAATTTAATTTAATATACTATCAAAACTTCAAAAAAATTCAGCCTTTCAACAAAAATTTAGAGTTCAAATCATTTAACAAACCCTAAAAAGTTAATCGTAAATAAAAATAGTGTTGGTGAAAATATTTACATTAAATAAATAAATAAATATAAATTAATATGAAAATATTGAATAAATCCATCACAAAATTTGAGCATTCGATGATCAAACAGTCACGAATTCCTTCTCTATTTTCTCCTCTAACTATAAATAAATAATTAAGCATGGACCTCCAACAAATGAGGCAAAATTTATAAGCTCAGCCATTGTTTTGGCAGTACAAGGAACATTTTTCAGCCTCGTAACACAAGTATCATAATTTGGAATGAAGAAGCTTCAACCAACAAGGCTGTCTAAAAAATAATCAAGTCCTTTGAAATAATTCAAAAAGAGTCTCCTCTGCATTGCCCAAATCATCCTCTTCATCAATAATAGGTGGAGGTAGTGATGTACTATCGTTCAAGTACTCTTCTATCCGCAATGAAAGTTGATGATGAAGATGGCGTGGATTTGAGGTCTCTGCAATATCTTCTGCCACCTCCTGTTCATGAGGTGGGACTACAGTTATCTCATTCAAAGAACCTAAGGAAGACGACCGCGATAGAGTTCCAGATGCCACTGTGATCTCATCATGCTCGTCAATTGTTGTATCTAGCGAACACACTGATCTTGTAGCAACTGAGAGTGTTGCTGAGTCGCGTTTAGACCTCTCCTTCACCCTCTTGCACCAGCTGTGTAGCGACTCTCTGACACTCTCAGCAACCAATGCCTTCTTACACCGCGATCCCATCTGAATCAAAGCTCACACAAGTATTAGTATAACCCTTCCTTCATATATCCCTACACTTATTTTTCTGAAGAAACTGGACAAACCTGTGTAATGATGACATTCAAAGGCACTGTGCTGTAGCTACACCAGAACTGAACAAGAACCCTGCATTTACAGTATAATGAGATATAAGATGGTCAGCTATAACATCCAAAAAAATTCTCTCTTGGCAGCAGCTCGAAGTCGAGAATAGGAATAGGGACTACAAGAAGATTTTTCCAGCCTATTTCGCGCAACAAATCACACACACAGAAGCCACTAAGGCCTAAGTTGTCGAGTTGCTTGCAGTAGCGACAGACAACACTACCTTTTTTTTGTTTTACCTCCCAACTTCATATTGCAGAAATGGTTACCCTAACTTGTCAGAATATGGAGCAAAGAAGGTTCAGAAAACTATTCTATGGACTACAGTTAAAGAGTATAAATGTGAAAAGGTTATAAAAGACACCAGGTTAGGTTTCAAAAGCTTCATGAACAAAAAAAAGCCTCATAATAGTCATGGACACTTGACTGCAGACTAACTTCTTAGAAGCTGCTAGGAATATTCCAAATATGATCTTTTATCTGTCACTTCGTTATTTATCTAGAAGCTAGTTTTCATTTAGTTGCAGATGTTTCCTACTCATCAAGCATGATTTCCATTCTTGGATATTCTCGCTGATAGAGGGACCTACTTGGAGAGGCTGACCTAACAATTGAAATTTCTGCTTTGGTTACAAGCATCAGGAAAACTAACTTTGAAATTAATCTATAATTGACCAGATCATGGTATTGCTAACTTAGCTATTGGGAGGTGAGTTCGGCGGATTTTCTTTGGGCTTGCATGCATGAGAACCTCCGGTATATGGAAGGAAACTTTGATGTCAAAAGCCTCAGATGCGTAACTGATAAGGGATTTCATCTCACATGATAAATTTTTGCACCTGATAGTATACATCTTTTTTCTCATATTCTTAAAGAAGTTAAATATGAAATTATCTTACGAGTGCACAGATACACATGAAGAATGAAAACCAGTTCCTAAGACCAAATTAATCTTCTGGATAAACAACATGGAGAAACAAGGCGATAAGTTGTTACTGAATCTGTAGGGTCTTTATGTGAGTGGAGGACTAATATACTATTATAAGAAGAACAAACAACCAGGTCATTATACAACTTAGCAGAGACAGAAGTTTATGCACTTGCAAAGCTAGTGGAAGAACTAGAAGTAGGTAAATCTGCAAGGCAGTTTCAAAATTAAGAAGGGAACATACCCAGAAGCTAACCGAGCGATTATCATGTAATGGTTATTCATGAAGCACGATCTCTGCTTGAATCCCCACTGAACACACAGAAATTAGAAAATTCTAATTAATAATAGATAGTATGAAAGTTCATTCTCCTCAGAGAAGAAAAAAAGGACTGATCGGTTTTCTAAAATACTTCCAATAAAAAGAGAACTGTGATCTTCCAGGAATTTATTGTTGATGAAGATCAAGTTGACAGTTTAACAGTAGTAAAGTGAAGTTAGCATGAAAAGGACTGATATTTTAAAGGATTTAACCGAACGGAAGTCTACTGGTTAAGGTCAGCATGTACGTTTCCCAGTTTAACATTCTAATCACTTGGCTAGACTTTAGAAAAATTGATGTCAGGTGTATTCCTATTTCTAAGGAAACGTATGTTTGATTTGCCATTTCTTTTAACCGAATAACTAATTCTTACCAGGGAAATACTCTAAATGCTTGTGGAAGAAACAATGTGTTAAAATCAACTTTCTGATATCATGTTCTGTGACTTGGAAAAAAAGAAAAAGGAATGAGAGCTGACAAAGGACGGATACAAAGGAGTTCTTTTCAAGAAGTTGCATATGCTAAACTATACCATGTTGCCAGAACCAGTTTCTCTATAACATCTACAGCCTTAGCTACAACGCAAATCATCCTGATTCTCACGTTAATATAGACTACAATTTTTCTAACCCCTGGACATATAAAATACAGAAAATGACTCATAGAAAGAAAGAGAAAAGGCTCAAACCTACCAAGGACCAGATAAAGGTTGCCATCTCAAAAGCATTCTGCATGCAAGGCAAGAAAACAAATGAGAACTGCTGTGAAATACAGAAAGATCAATACATCTGACACAGGATATAAATCACTATCATCACCTGAAATATAATAAACTGTATCAACCTTAACAATATTTCCGGTTTACCAAACCAAAAGAGACCATCTCGAGGCTTTACTTGATTCCCAATGGACGGACCTGTTTGTTTCCCTATCTCAAGTGCTAATGTGGAAACAACATGCTGAAGCTTTGTTCCAACCAACATCACAAGCTTTGATATGTGAAACAAATATGTGAGAAAATATCATGTAGCAACCATTATTATTTAGATACACTGACAGAAGAATAGGTATACTTACAATAGCAGGGATGAAGGAAAGCCAAAAGTAAATATTTAAACCTGGAGCATTTAGACAGTTTAACTTCAGAAAGAGAATAGTAGGATCTAACATGTACCAAAGAGATATCTTTTTGCATCCTAGAAAAAAGAAATGATAAGTTACCATGGATATTTATGAAGATACAGATTATGGCATATCCCCAAAGTGGCCAGCTGCAAATTTCGAAAAAAGATTCAGTGCAATTCATACTGCTTCTTCACTTCTGGGACATTTTAAATTTAAATCCTCCAATAAAACAATTGTTTCATTACTTTTTCCCTGGAAATCTAAAATCTTTGCATTTATTAAGTCCCATCATCTAATTCCAAAAGATGGTAAATTACAGGTATTTAAACTTCAAAAGCTGTAATGGTTACTGTTCTATAATAATTATATCACAAAGAATGAGGATTAAATTTCTGTTATCCAACCAATGTGATAGTACATAATGTTATAATTAAGTACATGTTTGCACATGTGCAACTTCAATCATCCAAATGAAATCCATATTTCAACTTCCTCGATGAAATTAGGAGCCAGATCCATTTTGAGGTCTTACTCTTATCACCATCAATATGTTCTGGAGGGTAAAATGCATACGTAAACCCTTTATTTTGGCCTACTCAAGTAACATAAATATGGTTTTTTCCCCATATTTTGTCAGAGTCCCCCATCCCCATATTTTTAGGCCTTTTCTTTCTTTTGTGTATGAAAGTTGACAAGCACCAACTAGCCCATAAGATTTTTTTAAAGATAGAAATTGCATTCTTATTGTCCACCTGGCTCATCAACAGACAAGGCTGAACTATGTCTGCAATATAATCTGTCTGGAGACTGCTGGTATGTAATCCAAAATGAAAAATGACTGCAGGAGCTTGTAGTTTTTGCCTTTAAGGCATGAAAGTAAAAGAAGAAATTGGTGGCAGAATTAAAATTCATTCAAATGAGTACATACCTGATCCCCAAGATGCCATGAAATTCATCTTCCATACTGCGGACCATATATTTATGGAAGTTATAAGAAATTGGCAGTTTGTGCTTCTGCAGAGTTGAAAACACAATAAAAACAAGCAACATGGCTTCAGCACGAAGTTAATGAAACGAAACCAGCAGATGGAGGATAGGTACATGACCAGAGAGCAAATTAACACAATGATATGACCGATCTCAGATTTCAAATGAACAAAGATTTACCATTTAGCAATGTAACAATTCTAAACAATGAGTCACAGATAGAATAATTTTGAACTGCTAGCACGGTAGAGCTTGCATGCACGAAACTAGACTTGAAGATATCCATCTACAAATGTAATCTTCAGGTGCAATTCTGGATCATACTTTACTCATATTACTTTCTCCATGAAACAAGAGTATATCTTACACAAATGTAACTTTAATTGTCCCCAAAATCATTAAAATTAAAAGCACACCCTTGGAATCTAGTGGCCCATGAGACATAACATGCACAACCATTATTCAGTTTTTATTTTTATCTTTAAGAGATTAGCTATGTACTGTCAAAGCTGGAACTTCAACCAGAGACATAACATTACGTTACAAAAATCATCTTGTGAGTCTTTCCTATCCCCTCTCTTTCAAATATTAAATAGCTGGGTGGCAGTAGTCTGTCAAAATAAAATCACAATTAAGTCACTAGTTCCAGCTAAGTGCATGCAGTGCATAGGCTGAAGATTCCTTCATGAGGATCAAAAGTTACAAAGGAGAATTTCAAAGAGAAATCATAAGATCAACACGAACATGATAAAGTTGAAATATATATGGTGACTATGATGACATGAACCGAATAGAGACAACAAATATAAAAGTAACACTTCAAGAAAAAATAGATACGCACAGTGATGAAACCCAATCGTAGTGCCAAGTAATCCGATTTCCTTATAGAGCTCTTAAATTGTCGAAAGAAGCAAAGCTGCACAATTACACCACTTTCATAAAACACAATCAGAGTCTCAGGTGAGGCATGCGATAAAGGAGAGCAGAGGGCAGGAAAAAAAGAAGAAAAAAAAATAATATAGCAGGAAAGACTGTATCATTTGTGATAAGGATAGCCTACTTCAACCCTCTGATTCATTTTCTCTAACTCTAATCATGCCTAATCACAAATTCTCAGCTTCCAAAACTGATAAACTTTTACTTCAAGGACTTCCGTGCATTTTCCAATGAGACATTTTACGTAAGGAATACCCTTTATGTGATGAGTCAGTGCAGATTCCCAATGTGAAACTAAGGACATGTCAAAGAATTTTGAAACCTGTTGCATCTTTATCATGTCTTGTAAAGTGAAACCAAAAAACAGACAAACTACCACATTCAAAATTAAAAAACTTCAGAGGAATCGTCCATATCATCAGTATCACAGAGCTGCATTATTTCTCAGCCTCTTGTATCATGAGAAGTCATGAAATACGACAGCAAGATTGTGGAAACTGAAGGTTTAAATTCGAATGCCCTGCTCATAGAACCTTAACGTCAAAATAATAGGTTACCAAGAGTACTGCAAAGGGAAGGAAACTAATTTGTCACCTGAACAATTTTGGTTAGTCCTCTGTCCATCGTTAAACATCATCTCCTTTCCAGAAATGCATATACATCAATATGTCCAAATTAGAGCACAAGAATGGATCTCACAATTATTAATATCTTAAATTAGTCTATGTAACTTTGTACTAAAGTACATGATCGATGTCATTAATTCATGCAAGGAAAATAATTGCCAAAAACAAGGAAAAACATCACAACTTTTCAAAGACTCTAAAATACATAGAAAGCTAGGAAAATCACCATCCAAATGAGAACTCGACTCCTGCTCCATGGATGAGATGTGTGGTGGAAAACAAAGGTGGATTGCCGCCTCATCACCTTGTTTTTCTTTGCTATATAAAATAACAGTGAGAGAAAAGATAACACGGTGAGATGTGAATAGCATATAATAACAGCTAGATGGAGGTATTTTCAAAATAAAATCTTCATTAGACAAGGGGAAAAAAGAACAACAGCATAAAAATTGTATACAAAAAGAAAAGGTTCTGCAATAAGAAGCCCACGCACACTTCCAGCAGCCATTAGCACTTAACATAGGCTATTTGTCACTCCAACAAGCCACAACTGCCTCGGAAAGTCATTTAAGTTATATGTGTTTCATTTCCTGATATGCATGCCTGGCAGTTTGGCCATCGCAGTTTATGCCACGACAGGCAGCAAAAATGTATATAAAATTGTAGTCACTAAGACAGGAATAGCACAGTTAAACCATATGTTCTCAGTATGTCCGAATTTCATTGTGCCTACCAAACTATGAGTCCATTTTTCTGGTTCCTGATCATGGATCAATGCAATAAATGTGGTTCTACAACTCAACGTGAATCCTTTTATACTGTATAATAGGCAGATTCCTGACACACAGTTGATATCTTAAAAATAAAAGGAACTTTCATACATAATACTAACAGGATGTAGCATTCCTACATTAATGTCTATGTTTAGTCCATGATATCTGCACAATCCAACTCATGTTATTAAACTCGCTTCTTTTTTCAATTCATATGAGAACTAAGACCATAATGTGAACTAACTTAACTGTACATGTGCTATAAGCTAATTACAAGACAGCTTGTGAGTCTTCTTCTTTGTCTCTAACTTCTATCACTGCCACCAGAATGCATACCTACCTATCTGTTCATCTATATAGAACTGGAGCTCTGAAGTTCGTCACGATAGACACCTCAAGTAAATTTTCAAAACTGAACCCTAATGTTAATAATCATGACGAGATTAATTGATGCAGTAAAATGTGGATGGATTTCCCTTTGAATGGAAGATTAGTTACACATACTGTTATATCTTATGGTCTCAAAATGGAATCCATTTCCACAATCGATTAGCCTGATGCCAATATCCTTCTGACATAGGCATAGCCATAAAAAGATTAGATTAGGTGGAGTAGAAAGCGGATGATCAATTACCTCTAAATTTCTAACATGGATGCACATAAAGTATCAGATGGCCTCATAACTGAAATCAACTAGTTTCATATGGTGTCTACTAGACAAAAACTGGGGAAGTGTATATCAAATGGCTATCCATCATTAAACAAATGAAAAAAGACACGATAGGCAAAGTTTTCATGGTGTAAGATGTCACTAGGAGCCTTCACTAAACTAGTAATTCAAGTTGCTTACCTTGTAAGTTCCCATCAGCCACTAAGCTTGTCTGATTTTCCCATTTCTTCCAACTGTAGATCTAGGAAGACATGCAATAGGAAAAAAATATAAGCCTTTGCAGTGTTTAAGGAGGGGCTACAAACTGCATGAAAAGACAGCATACAAGCTAAATCTGCAATCCCTACTAGTTCGATTGTCTGCATGCATGGATTCACCTCCTCTATTTAGTTTTGTTACATACTGAATTTTCTCTTAGCCATTGCAATGTTGGGTTGTTATTCATTTTTGTTTTTGCGTATATAGATTCCCATTCCTCTCTCCCAATGGTTCAATTTTATCACTCTTCCTCATGGCGCATCCATATATTGACGTTGGATATGGCCAAAACATCTCAACCAATGCTTCCTAACTTGTCCCTATAGGTGTCACCTCCACCTTCTCATGAATGCAACTCATTTCTTACTTTGTCTATTGTTGCATTTCCATGCATCCATCTCAACATTCTAATTTCATCCATGCCCACTTTGTAAACTTCAAGGTGCTTCTTCAGCGCCCAGCTCTTGCTCTGGTTATATGGATAACGTCTTTCTCCTCTTTGGTGGGATCAGAATTTTTTTGGCAAAAAAACCACCTCCTTCCGTGACAGAGCTGCAGGCACCAATGGATTCAGCCTTCGAAAATCTCAGGCTGCGAGTATGACATGGTCTAGGTATCAAATAGCCAGACATTAACACCGCTACTCCATCTGGGTTAACAACCATCCTCATATTAGTAGTGATGTTAAAATTGCAATGCACATATGACAATCTATTTAAACTTTGTTAACCTGAAATCTTTTTGGACTCTAAGGTATTCCTCCACTCCAAATTTTGCTTTAACCTTGTTCGGGTTGAAACTATCAGCATTCAGAACTATATTATCAACAAGCAGCATGAACATGGGATATCTTCATGGATATGTCTTGTTTCTTCATCCATAACCAAAGCAACAAGATGACTCAGAACAAAGCTGATGTGAACCAACCATAGCAGGAAATCTAATCACTGGTAATAATCTTCAATGGTAATTATCCATTCACATACATTGAAAAAAAATCTCTTCTTTTCACCACCTACTAAAGAACTTCTCTTGGTCTATTACATGTTCTCTCTAAATAGATGAAGAACATACAGAAATCACTTGTTTTCCTAAGTTTCCTTAACCTCTTTAGAAGGAAGAGTCTCCATCCCAGATACCCTAGCTGTTAACATGATACAGTATGATGCTTTAGGGAAAAAAACAGACAACATATACAGACCAAAGATGATGTCACCAACTCCGAGGAATAAGTTCATTTAGCTAAGCTGCTGTACTTCCACAAGTATGCTTCATGGAACCCATGGCTCCAATCTAGAAATTTAAGACAAGATAATTCCAATTCCTAGCAATATTATTTCTTGGAAATGACTTCATTATACTGCTTGGAGCAACTTAGATTATTAAGTATGGTAGGCATTAAGTATTGGTGGTATTGAGAATCAAAGTTTATACTGATAAAATGACCAATAAAGTGATAATAGTACCTTGCTCATAGCCAGACCAACGGCCAAGCAACTGTACAGGACATGAGTGATGCCGAGAACAAACAAAAATCGGTGAAGCTGCTCGAGACCCTCTAGGGAGACAAATGGTTCACGACCCTGAAATCAAGGAAACTATAAATTACCATGACTTGTTCCCCAAAGACCACACCTAATAAAATTCAAAAAGCAGGAAAAGCAAATTTACCTCACCACATTGATGAGCAGCTGTTGGAGTAGTTGTTCTTTTGGGGGGTTGTGGGTCTCGTTTAGAAAAGGGGATGAATTTTCTAACATGACATTCTGAATGTTGCCATAATCCCCCTCAGAACAAAGATAGAATTTACTGCTGAAAAGAGACGAATTCACGCAAATCTCAGATATCCACCGCGCACATTGTGCCAAGAACAGAGATATAAGCCCAAGCAGCATCAGCTCTAACGGGAAGAAAGAGGAAAAGTAGCCAAAGAAAGGCGTATTAGAACCCAAAAACCCAAAATCAGCACTGCCCCACATGAATTTGAAAATGTCTCCACTCCCAAAATTAACAAAGGATATAAACACCCGAACCCTGTGTATAACATTCACTCGAAACATTTATCAACTGGCCTTAATTTTTCTCTTTGCCTTTTCAGAACAAAATTGAAGCTGCTAATAACCGAAGTAAATGGTAAAAAGTAAACATTCACCTTCCTTAATTTTCTCCAAAGAAACAACCAGAGCCTTCCTCCTTGTTTTCTCCAACCACTGTGTAGAAAACCAAAACATAGAAATCAGACAAACCTTCACAAAATTGGAAATGTCAAGAAGATTTCATGGGTCCAAAACAGGACATTGTCAGAACATTGCCAAAATGACAAGATTACAGAGTTGCTGCTGTGCTGTCTTCAAGCAAACTAGCTAACTGGAGATATGTTGTTTGAACAAAGCCAAATGGTACGGAAAAAACACAAACAGTACAGGATTTACCTTTCCAAATCTGTAGATGGAGCGTTGAAAGGCAAAGCAAACAAAAACCAAGACTGTAATAACTGAAGCTACAGAATAAGTAGGAGTCTCAGCCAGAGATCTCCCTTGCCTTATCAACACGTCCTCGTTCTCCATTAATCGATCTAAACAACCCAAGTTAATTTTACTTTCTTGGAAAAACTAAATGAGAACTTCATCAAGTGGAGGTAGCTAGCTAGAGGAAACCAAGCAGTGATCCAGGAAATGAGGAGCAGTAGTAATAAAATCACATTTTCTAAGTTTTGTCAAAGAAAAGGAAAAAAAAAAAAAAAGATGATGAAGAACATGCAAATGGAAATCTATGGAATCCCGTGGAAATAAAAACAAAAGAAAAGCATTTTCAGTACTCAGAGTTTAATATTGATTATTTTTTGGACATTTTCACTTTCCTTGCATGGGAATCGCTGCATGCGACATAATGCAACCTACCCACATGGAGGAGGCGAGGATGGAACCTCTCGAAGTCCAACTTCGAGTAAATTATAAATTAGTCTCTTTATTTTGAAAAAATGAATTCATTAGTCCTTTTGTCTCAAGATTTAATTATTTAGTCCAACGTAATCTTTTTTGTTCTTTTTCAATTTATTTTTATTTTTAAAAATTATGGAAAAATTGATGAGAAAAATAACATATTTTAAAATAAAATAATATTAAATTAACTATGGTATTAAAAAAAACTAAATAATTATTTTTTGAAGCTAAAAAAATTAATTAATTGGTTTCTAAAAAATAAAGGGACTAATTTGTAATTTACTCCTTATATTTGCCTCGTGAAAGTTGAAATTTGAATGTGTTGAGTCTCCAACGATCTCTCTACCTATAGTGGACCTTGGCATGTGAGCTCCATTAAACCTAATTTCGAGTATGATATGATGTGCTCCCTTACCAAAACTTTCTTTTTTTTTTTTTTCTTTTTAATTAATACTGCTATATCTATCTATATACCTTTCTTGTCAAGAGTAGAAAATTAATTATTAGGCACAAGTTTTTAAATTTTGTGAGAAATTTCATAATGGATCAAACTAATAAAATAATTTTTAGGGTTTGGCACTATTTAAGAGGGGAAGCTTTTAATGTTTCAAAAGTAAGAAATTATGTACGTTTTTTAAATCTAAAACTGACTTTAGGCGCATATGTACAAACGAAAGCTGTGTTGACTTTATGAGATGATAAGTTACTACTAAACATGAAACATTAGTTTAAATAATGGTTAATAGCTTCATCTATTTTTATATAATAAATTAAGTTTTTAATCTGTTTTTATATCATAAAACAATTTTATTATGTCTCTGTTGTTTTAAGTGGCTTTTAATATATTTTTTTGATTAATTTTTTCAGTCAAATCACTTAAAAATATCACATGATCTACACATGATTTTTTTTTTTTGACAAAAATATCATTCGCAACTCAACATGTTAAGTTTCTAATCTACTCTTGTATAATAAGTTGAGTTTCGTCCTCGATGCTAAGAAATCTGTTATATTATCGATAAATATTTTTCTAATAATATATTGCACTCGTAGAAAAAATCTTTAACAAAAAATTAATGACTAACCGTTTTAAAATTTTTTTTATCTAAGTATTTCTAATCTTTTAATTCCTTAAGCATTTGAACAGTTTAGATTTTTTGTAATTTTTTTTTATTTCTTAAAATATTTTAAAATTTTTAATGACCTTGTTAGAATTTATTTGAAATTAATAAGAGAAAGTATTGATTTTTTTTCCGAAAAATTTTTTTTATATAATTTTTTATTTCTTTGCAATTTTAAAATTTTAATCGTAGTTATCTTACAATTTATTATAATTTAGATTGGGTTGAATTGACTAAATTTGACTAAAAACAGGTTGATAAATCCTTCTTACCAATCCTTATTTGCCTAGATAATACAAGCACAGGGCCAAATTTAAGGATTTTCCCCAAATTTAAAGAATTTGAGTTCAAAGATCATATATTTTATTAAAAAAATCTATTTTAAAATATCATAATAATAATAATACTTAATAAAAAATAAAAAACTTCAAAACATGATTGTTTATATTACAAAACTTATACAATAAACATATAAATAAAAAATTATTTTATCAAGGAAAAAATAAAACACTAATAATATTATATGAAATAATATATCTCATCAAACAAATTAATTTTTATTACTTTAAATTAAAATAAAATAATAAATTAGTTATTTCTATGAGTTGAACATAATTTAATAAGTATTAGATTATTAGTTTTATATTAAATAAAAATATTTTTCTCATATTATGTCATTTTGTCATGTCTCATGTTTATCAAACCTAAAATATAATAGTTGTCAGTCCATTATAGTTTTTTCCTTACTTTCTACCCATTGAATAAAAAATCAATTTTTTTTTCATTCTTACAAAATCTCATATTGTATTAAAAAAAAAAGAAGAAGAATTTATGAATACTCACATCAACAAAATGACTAAAAAGTTGTATGTAATTAAAACAACACCATTGCGAGTGTTTGAAGTTTAATCGAAGAATCATAGTAGCAAGCTAGCAACCAAAAGCAGCTACAATTTCCACCTCTTTTTTTTTTTTTTTTACTTTTCTCCTCGTATATATATATGTGTGTGTTTCTACTCAAACCTTCACTTCATGTCTTTCAAAATCAAAAGAAATCCTTTTAACTTTGCATTCAAAATCCATGTCATGTGTTTAAGGACTCTGGGGCTATCTGTCTTGACATTGTTCCATGTAAAGATTTGTGGCCACGAGTTGAGCTTGATGGATTTAAAGTCGTGTGTTTGTAGGCTTTTTTGGTTAGATTGTTCTAAGGATCATAAAAAAAACCTTTTTTTTGTTAAACTTTCTTAGTAATTTGTTGACTACGAAGATTAACCATATAATTGCAAAATATACTAAACGGATCTGTTTTTGTTTTTGTTTTTTCTTAAAAGTACTTGACTGAAATAAAATTTTTTTTTGGTATATCAAAATTAAAATAAAATAAAATCTATACACTAGATTGAAAAAATGTAAAAGTTGATGTACCAAAATTGTAAATTTCCCTTATTAAAAGTTTAAATTACACGTATTCAGAAAACGGAGCAATTAGTTTTGACACCCTGACTAGAGAGAGTGGGTGCGCGTTTATCAGTCTGTACTAAAAGAAAAGAAATTCCTAAACCCTGTCCAAAACCCTAGCACTCAAGATTAAGCCATGGCACAACGACTACTCCGACTCCATCGAACCCTAAAGCCACTCTCTTCCACACTGCCTCGCCCTTTCTCCACTCCTACCACAATCGCAGCACCAGCCTCACGGACGCCCCCAATCATTTCTCAATGGCGGGGATTCACGGGAACGAGAGTGTCAATGATTTCGATGACGGGTAGACCAGAGAAACAGTACAAGCTATACAAGGATGGAGACGAGATTACTGAGGATACAATTCTGTTCGAAGGCTGCGATTACAATCACTGGCTCGTGACCGTTGATTTCCCTAAAGAAGGACCCAAACCCACTGCCGAAGAAATGGTCGCTACTTATGAACGCATATGTGCCCAGGGACTCAATATTAGGTTTTTTTTTTCACTTTCATTTTCATTTTAGTTTAGTCTTACTGCTTGAGCTTGAGATAACATAGTGGGTTTTAATGGCATGATTTTTTTTTTCAGTATCGAGGAGGCCAAAAAGAGAATATATGCTTGTAGCACTACTACTTATCAAGGGTTTCAGGTTTTGATGACGGAACAAGAGTCCGAAAAGTTTAGAGGTAGGCCTTTCTCTTTCTGTCTCCGCGTTTCGAGTATTCTGAATTTCCATCTTAGCTTTTTGTGCATTATTTTTGTCTTGATTGCTTGCTGACTTGTTATCTATGACGCTGTAAACAGACATACCTGGGGTTGTTTTTATATTACCAGATTCCTATATTGATCCAGTAAACAAGGAATATGGAGGTCAGGTTTTTCTCCTTGTGATTGAAATTTCTTTATCCAATTCAATTGTAAAAGTGCATCCAACTCGTTGTGTGATGCATATATTACACAATTAGTTAAAAGCAAGTCTGATAGGGGTTCGTTCAATTGGTGATTTAAACTCATTTAATCCACTTTGCAGGAGACAAATATGAAAACGGAGTAATCACTCCGAGACCACCCCCAGTTCAGATAAGGGGAGAAAGACGCCGTGAGCGGGGTAGATTTCCACCTAGATTTGACCAGCAAGGAGGTCCAATTCCAAATCATCAAGGGCCGCCACCCCAGTACAGTCAGCAGGGGCATATGCAAGGAGGACCTAGAAACTATGGGCCTCAGCAAAGTTACCCACCACAGCAAAATCGTGGTACTCCAGGGCATATGCAAGGAGGTGCTGGTAAGGATGGGCCTTGGCAAAATTACCCACCACCGCAAAATCATGGTCCTCCAGGGCATATGCCAGGAGGTGCTAGTAACTATGCGCCTCAGCAGAATTACCCACCACAGCAAAATTATGGTCCTCAAGGAGGTGCTAGTAAATATGGGCCTCAACAAAATTACCCACCAGAGCAAAATCATGGTCCTCCAGGGCCATGGGGCAGTATGCCGATGAACAATAGGGATTATGCCCCTGGAGGAAGGAACATGTATCCAGGACAGCAAGGAAATCATTACCCCCCAGGACAGCTAGGTTACAACCAAGGACAGCAGGGAAATCATTATGCCCATGCCCTAGACCAAACGAGCTTTCCACAAGGAGACCAGAGGGATCATGGGTCTCCTGGGCTAAGAGATTATAGGGGAGATAACAGGAATTATTCTCCCACGCATGGTGGAAACTATGGGCTAGGTGGAAATACTGCTATGGACAAACTTCAACCAGGTGAAGGTCAGAGGTTTGCACAAATGGAGCAGAGGGGCATGCGAGGAGAGCAAGGGAACTATGCACCAGTGGGACAACCACGTGAAAACTATGGGGAAGGTGGAAATACTATTATGGACAAACGTCACCCATGTGAAGGTCCGAGGTCCGCACAAATGGAGCAGAGGGATATGCAAGGAGAGCAAGGGAACTATGCACCAGTGGGACAACCAGGGTGGTCAGACCAAGTAAGACACTCCCCCATTAAGTGATTCACTGGAACCGTTTTTTAGTTTTTAGATTATCCATAGGTGGTTTCATAGTGTAGATGAGGACGAAGAGTGGTTTACAGACCTTACATAGATGTATGACTTTTAGTTTTCTTTACCGGTGGATCGATTAAAATGTTATTCTTGTGTAGCTTGGTTAGTTGATGACTGGTTACATGTTAGATAACAGGAAAGTTTTATCATCAAGAGTCTTGTAATTGCTATTCTTCAATTACCAATTGATCTCTTGGGAAACTCTGCATGCTTGAAAGTGAAGTGCACTGCTGAAATGTGAGGAGAAGTCGAACACAATCAGTTTTTGTGAAAATAAATAACTTAAAGAAAGAATTGGTTCTTTTTGCCCTTCAACAGATCATCTTATTTCTCTCTTCTTTATTGGGTTGTGCAGCGAGGATATTGAGAAGACTGATTGTTCTTTGAGATGGAAGAGAGAATGGACTCGTAAATCACTTTCGTCTCTCAATTTTCAAGCATGAAATGAACTTTCGATGTCTGTTTTGGTAAATAAATTTGTGTTTGTTTTGCCTTTATGAGACTAGGAATGCGGGATCTTTCCTATTCTATTGAACTGCTTGAGCAAGTTTTGTGAGGTTGCTAGGTCATGCATGTCTTCTACCTCAAGCATGCAATCTGTGTTTCAACTTTTTCCTCGATTTTAATAGTAAGGTATTATTATAGGTAAAAGCAGTCCGGTGTTTCTTTTTTATCAACGAACTTATGGTTGCATACTTTTTAATTTCACCAAACCATACCTCTATCTAGTTACTAAAAACAAGTAATTGTTGTTCAGTTACCTTTCCAGTTACTGGTAGAAAATAAGTTTGTTTGCATTTACTATTGATTCGGACAGCCATAATTCAGTTGTAGGAATCGTTTTTGTACCTATGCATGTTTGTGGTAACTTTACTTGCATTCTTCTAATAACTTGAAATAGCATAATTTCATTGAAAAATTCTCCTGAAATTTCATTTGCAAGGAATTTTATAAGGTGAATGGCACTGACAGATTCTTTAATATCAGAATGAAATGATTTGTTTATTTTATGTTAGGTTTCCTATTTGCTTTTCTTGATTCTTTCTTAGGCACCGTGTTTTGATGGAAAATGCTGTGCATTAAATCATATTATCCTTAAATGATTGGTTGAGAATGAGGAAACAAAAAAAAGCCACATCTATTTGAATTAAAATTTTGTATGATTTGTTTGTATATTTTAAGAACGTTAATATGACTTGTTTTTATCGGATTTTTTTTTTTTTTTTTTTTTGGGAATGGGCTGCTTTTTTATTTTATTTTTTATAAAATCCTAAGGATAAATCATCAAATAGTTAAATTGGTTTATTAATTATTTTTAAAAAGCCCAACAAGGGGCCCAAGTCCAACGATTTGTTCTATGCCTGGCCTTGCCAACTATGGGTCAATTAATACTGAAAAAAGGAATGAAAAAGCCCTCGTTGCGCCTACAGCCTTCTGTTTGACGATTAGCTCTTATAAAAAGATTTAGTCAACGTTTATCCTCAGTTTGCATAATTTAGTTAATTCTATTCAATTGGACTAAATTGCATTAAATTGCTAGACGAATAACTAAGAAATTTTTCTTTCCAAGAAAATAAGATTTTGAAAATGTTTATGGAATAAAAAACCTTTTTTTTTTGACAAAGAAAATTTTGAAAATACTCAAATCATTAAAATTTTAAGAAAGGTTTATGAAAAGAAATAACCTTTTTTTTTTTTTTTCAAAATAACGTAAAATTTTGATGATGTTTAAGAGAGAATAAATCTAACTTTTAAACATATAAAATCAAAATGCCCATTCATTAAAATATTTGAATTGTTCTAGAAATAAATAAAAAAATCAAAAATTTCAAAATTTTTTAAGGATTTTTTATTTCTTAAATATTTATTTGTTTCTAAAACTCCTTAAGCATATTCGAGAAATTTAATGACCAAAAAATTTTTTATCTAAGCATTTCTAACCTTTTAATTCCTTAAGCATTACAAGAGTTTAGGTTTTTTGTGATTTTTTTTTATTTCTTAAATTTTTTAAAAATTTTAATGACTTTGTTAGAATTTCTTTAAAATTAATATGAGAAAGTATTGATTTTTTTTTATTTTCCTAGATAATACAAACACAGGGCCAATTTTAAGGATTTTTCCCAAAATGAAAGAATTTGATTTCCGAGATCATATGTTTTATGTATTTTTTTTATAAAAAAAAAGTTTATTTTAAAATATAATAATAATAATAATTAATAAAAAAATTAATTTTTTTAAGACTTCAAAATAATGATTATTTATATTACAAAACTTATGCAATAAACATATAAATAAAATAATTATTTTATTAAGCAAAAAAAGAAAGAAAGAAAAACTAATAATATTATATAAAATAATATATCTCATAAAACAGACTAATTTTTTTTTACTTTAAATTAAAATAATAAATTAGTTATTTCTATGAGTTGAACATAATTTACTAAGAATTAGATTATTAGTTTTATATTAAATAAAAGAGACAATGTTTTTCTCACATTATGTCATTATGTCATGTCTCATGTTTATCAAACCTAAAAATAGAATAGTTGTCAGTCCAATATAGTTTTTTCCTTACTTCCTACCCATTGAACAAAAAAATCAATTTTTTTTCTTTCTTAAAAAAAAAATATCATTTTTTAAATTAGCATTTATTTTGGAATCTAGGAATTAACTTTTTTTTCCTTTAAAAACATGAGAGGATATAAATCCTATATTACTAAAATTAGAATAATGTTTCTACTCAATTGCTAATATTAACTAGCTAGCTAGAATGACCAAATTTAGAGCGTTCGTGACTTCCCGCCATTTTCGCTGTCCTCCTCCTCCTCTTGGAGACATGGTGATTAGTACAGCTTCAAGGCAATGCGCCCAATTTTGGAGTTGTCTCATTATCATCTACTTTCGCCATTTTCTGATCCCTTTACATCTTCCTCCTTGCTTCCTTTTCCCAAGGTAACCATTATTTATTTAATTAACCTCACAACTTTGCTTATTATCTTTTTAATGTAATCATGGAACTTTTTTTTCCCCTTCATTACACACTAGTTTGCAATGAAATGAATCATGTCATACCATTTTTTTTTCTTTTTGTTTACGATTTAAAGGTTAGGGTATCCTTGAGGTGGCTTTCATGCACCAAGATTAAGTTCTTTTTTGATAAGATCTTACGTATGACATCCTTATGACTTGATCTGGGTTTTGTTTTTGCTTGTTCGTTATGGGAAATTGCCCCACAAATTTATATCTTTTTGTAGACAGGGAAGTGACTGAAATTAAGGAAAATGAAACTTGTATTGCATAAAAGACGACAAAAGTTGGAACATGAATAAGTACTATGCTGGATTAGCAAGACAAAGAGGTTTATTATATTTTTATGGATTAATTAGATGTGTTTTAATTCACATCAATTAATTATAAATCACAACAGATTCGATAGTCATAATGATAGCTCTTATTAATGTAAAAATGGTGAGAAAATTTTTATTGGCAAAAAGAAGAAATATATATTCTAAGTTCTAGCTAGTGCCAAAGATAATTTATTTTCACCAAAGCTAAAGCTTTGAATCGTACTCCAAATGAACTAAACCTTGCTCGAGGCGGAGCTGCTCTTTGAATTTATTCAAAATTTTGCACCATAACAATGCCATTGATGGTTTTCATTTTTGAACAGGAAGCCTGATCGATGATATAAATTTCTGTGACGGGACAAATATAACTATAGTGCTAACATGAAACTTGAAAGATAATCACTTGCAATTTGTGAAAATGCTTCAGAACTTACTGCTGGTGGTTTCCTCTTTGTGCTGTCTATAAGAAATACTAATTTGGAATCAATGATAATGTAAAGTTTGGACTTCACGTGGAGGATTCATAAAGTGAATCATCCATGATATGTGAAGCAAGTTGAGTGGTTTGATTCACGATAAACCTTGGAAAAGCATGATAGCACGTGCATTCTTGATAGAACATAATATTAATAGATCATTTATGTTTGAGACTCTTAGCAATTGATGCTTCAATAGGCATTTTTCTTTTTGTTTTTTGTTTGCTGTTGTATGAGTTTAGCTTGGAATGTAGGTGGATCATTACTTGATTCCAATATTGGTTAGATTTTTTTTTAAGCATGACCAGAATTTTGGTATAGTTTTATGGAAGTTTGAACTTTGCTAACCTGAAACATACTTATGTTTATTATCAATGAAATTTGTCCGGCATCTAAACGTCCACTGCAAATAAGATACAAGATTATTAATCTGCATCGGTGTTTTGTGGTTTGTAGCATGTTTGTTGTTTTGTCTGTAATGTCCTTATGTGCATGGTTGGTGTTAGTGAGTGGTTGTGATTGTGTTCATGTTTTTCGTCTTTAATCTGATCCTTCCTTTTCTCCTTACCTTTCTTTCCCTGATATTTCAGCAAGGGGAAGACTACTGGGATCAACTTACGGAGACAGCAATCTCTGCCTGACGCTTTTGATGCACTTATGTCAGAATACCGTGTTTCCATATTTTCTGACTGTTTATGATATTGTCTGGTCCTTCTGAAAGGCAGTGAATTTCAAAAGCTTTGTGATGTAGATGAAAGTTATATTTGCATGGTAAAAGAATCTTTTACAAATTGGAACGAGACTTGTTCATCTCTCAAGGGGCTGTCTGTGATATGATGTTAGCTACTGAATACTGATTGATTAACTTTGGATCTAGTTTTGGCAAATATTGGTGCCTCGAGAATTTGGTGTTTTGCTAAGTTAAAAAGACAGAATGGGTACGGAAAATAATGCTCCTCAGAAGACTCAATCTACTGCAATTCAGGCTTCCAAGGAACCTGATTTTTTGCATGGTGAATTGGATATATGGATTCTAGAAGCTAAATCCCTTCCGAATATGGATTTAGCTTCAGAAAATATGAGAAAATGTTTTACCATCTGTGGATCTTGCTCATCGCCTTGTAGAACAAAACCTATGACACATTCAGGTAAACATTCAATCATTACTAGTGATCCCTACGTGTCTGTTTGCCTTGCAGGGGCAACAGTAGCACAGACAAGAGTGATTCCCAATAGTGAGAACCCTTTGTGGGATGAGCATTTCTGCGTGCCAGTTGCTCACCCTGTTCTGAAAGTGGAGTTTCATGTTAAGGATAATGATTTTCTTGGGGCGCAACTTATTGGAGTAGTGGAAATACCTGTTGAGAAAGTCATCTCTGGAAATACTATTAATGATTGGTTTCCCATCATTTGCCCTTCTGGAGCGTGCTTGAAACCTTACCCCGAGTTACATATTTCCATTCAATTCAAGTCAGTTGAAGGCAATCATTTATATGAAGATGGTGTTGGTGATGGACCAGAATACAATGGAGTTCCCAACACATACTTTCCACTCCGTAAAGGAGGGTTAGTGACACTTTACCAAGATGCTCACGTCCCTGATGGTGAGCTGCCTGAAAT